ATGTCTCGTTTAACAACAGAAATTTGGGGTTCAATTGTGGTTGTAACTCAAGGACATCCTTGTGATTGTTTTATGATTGCGCTTGCCACCGGCAGACGCTTATCTGAAATGGGCAGCTGTATAAATTAAATAAATGTGGAAGCAGGCCACATAAGTAAGTACAGGTAGTCCTCAACTTACAACCATTTGTTTAATGACCCTCCTCTTGCCCTGCCACCTTTGTGGGTGGCTCCTGCTGCCAGGCCAGCCCCAAATCTCATGTACCTACCCTAGATGAAGCCCCCAGGGGTGCTGCACCTACAGAAAAGCAGGGGGGTGCCAGCAAGCAGAGCCCCAGCAGGGAAGCCTCATGATGTCGGAGTCTTGCACGTTCTCTCGCCACCTGCTGTTTTCTCTCTCTTCTCTTCCTGACTCATTGGCTGGCGCTTTGCTCACCCTGCTTGCACAGGAGTGCAATCCCCGCACCCATCTCACACTCCAGCATGCTAACCCACCATTGGCGGTTGCACAGTTTTGGTTTTGACTCTGCTTTCTGAAAATAAACCATATGTCAGCCCTGGAACCTGTTTCCTCCCCTCCCACTTGGCACCTTAGGGCTGCCACAGTGAAGAAGGTAGAGCTTTGGGAATGGAAGGGGGAAGAAAGAGATAATTGGGGGGGGGGGATTGTAGTCATAATAAAATTCTTTCTCCTGAGAACCAAGAGTTTTCCCACCAGGTGCAAGGAGGTGGGGTCTGAGACTGAGTGACCCTTGGACTGTGACCTGATTGGACCGTGTGAACCCCAGTTGAGAAATCCTGCTTAGGGGGAGCTTGTGGCTGAGCTTCTTTCTCTTGCTTGCCGTTTCCAACCTTCAAAGCATGCTTTAATTTTTCTATCTATAATCTCTACATAGATCTCTGCGTAACTCTGGTGGTTATGGCACCAGGCTAGAAATTGGAGACTGTGAGTTCTAGTTCTGCTTTAGGAATATAAAGCCAGCTGGGTGACTTTGGGCCAATCACCAGGAGATGGTGAGTTCTAATCCTACCTTAGGCCTGAGAGATGGCTGGATGACTTTGAACCAATCAGCAGGAGACTGAGAGTTCTAGTCCCGCCTTAGGCATGAAAGCCAACTGAGTGTCTTTGGGCCAGTCACTCTCTTTCAGGGGAAAATGGGAGGAGGACGGAGTATTTGGTAACTTTGCTGCCTTGAGTTATTTATATAAAAATAATAAAGGCAGAATAAAAAAAAATTAAAATAAAATTTAAAAAACATTCTCCAAGATCATCTTTGTGGTTCTATACAGTAGGCTTCTTACAGGGTGTGATGTGGATAACAGATGGAGCAGAAGGGGAGACACAGACTGGCATTCTTGGACATTTTTTAAAAATCTCTGTTTTCTGGCTTAGAACATTTTTTTTTAGTAACTATTTTTGCATTTTTTTTCCCCTAGGTCACCACCATGGCTCTTTACAGAAACAGATGTGAAAACTTTGGGGAATAAGAATTGCATCTGAATAAGGAACCCAAAGGCTAAGCTCTAAAAAGTGAGAGTCGAGCAAATTATTAGAATTAAGTTAGAGAAACAAATATGCTTTTGAATTTTTGACAGATGCACGCCAACTAATTTTGGGGAGGGGCGGAAATGAAGAAAACTGTCCTGTTAAAAAAACACAGAAATAACCTGTGAGAATTCAAGAGCAGCGATGACATGACTAAAAAGGAATTGCACTTTCAAAATCGTACAATCTCTTCACCCCTGGGATTTGGAAAAAGGCTCCTCTGATGCTCTTAATGCACTGTCAGAATTTTAGTCCTGTATTTTTTAGGAGCATCCTCTGCTCCTATAATTCAGCAACAGCAGCAAAATGAAGAAGGGATGCTATTAAACATTGAAGACGTTGAATTGGAAGGTTATGTGAACCAGAGCACTATTTCTACATGAGGGTAACGAGCAGCTGCATAAAAACTGAGGCATGACAAAGTTTAAAGATCATGGCAGGTCTGAGATAGAGAAAAATAAGAAAGAAGGGGAAAAGAGAAGTTGAAGTGAGGCCTTACAAGAAGCAATGTGAGTTTATTTTCGATGTGGAATGAAGGACCATTAAGAAAATGAATCAAATAGCAAAATCTGAAAGGATCCTAGATCAGCAGGCCCCAGCAAAGGCTAGATGTGCCCAGTGGTAATATAGAGACAACCAAAAAAAAAAGATTTTAAGAGGCAGCAAGGAAAACTGGCAGGAAAGAAAGCAGAGGTGAATAATAGACAGGAAAATGAATACAGCAACAGACTACATGAAAATGAGTCTCTGGGTGAGTCAGGGTGCATCAGGGGAGAAAATAAAAGATGGAGAAATGTGCAGCAGAAGAAAACGGCAAGAATCATCAGCTTGATGAGACTGAGACAAGGTTTACCCAGAGAAGGTGAACTGAAACCTGCTGGTGGAACTATCTTTTCTACCCATCCTATCTCAAGTGACAGGAGAGATGCTCTGGGTACTGTCAGCTACAAAGTTATCAGCTGGTGGGGCCGAAGAGGAGATCTTTTTCTGCCGTAGCAATCACCCTTTAGAACAGAGGTCTCCAACATTTTTGGCACCAGGAACAGTTTTGTGGAAGACAATTTTTCCTTGGACCTGCCCTGGGGGACGGGGGGGGAGTTATGCTCCTATGAGAATCTAATGCCTGATTTGAGGTGGAGCTGAGACAGTGATGCTAACGCTGGGGAATGGTTGCAAATACAGATGAAACTTCATTCGCTGTCCTGCCGCTCACCTCGAGTTGTGCGACCTGGTTCCTAACAGGTCATGGCCTGGTACCGGGCCGGACCGGACTGTGGTCCAGGGATTGGGGACCCCTGCTTTAGAACATCATCCTCACTTAAGGTTAAAGTGTCCCTGAACCTGTTGGCGTTTTGTAAAGCTTTGAAAAATTGGCTTTGTGTACAAGTCTGTAGCACTGGGTGTATCACAGAGCCCATCTCTTGGCTGTCTGGCTGATTGATTATATTATGACCTGTCGCTTGTGGTTATTTTTATTTTCTATTTTTATATTGTGTATGTATTTTATTAAAAGTCTCCTAGACTCACATCAAAGTACAGGTAGTCCTCAACTTACAACATTTCACTTAGTGACCATTCAAACTTACAACATCACTGAAAAAAGTGACTTATGACCATTTTTCACACTTACAACCGTTGTAGCATCCCCATGGTCACGAGTTACATTTGGATGCTTGACAACTGACTCACATTTACAACGGTTGCAGTGTCGCAGAGTCATGTGATGGCCTTTTGCAACCATCGGACAAGCAAAGTCAATGAAGAAACCAGATTTGTTTAACAACCGTATTACTAATTTAACAGCTGCAGTAATTCACTTAACAAATTTCTCACCCAACAACATAAATTTTGGGCTCAAATGTGATCATTTGATCCTGAGGACTACCTGTATACAGGTGACAAACTGTTGATGTTACCTACTTAGATAATGAAACATCTGCCAAGAAAACCACCAAGATCAGAGAACACCAAGGACAACTGTACGAATCAAATGAATAAACGAATATTTCGGATGCTCCACTTGGTTACCAAATTAATTCATTTTCTGGATTAGCACAATGCACTGGATCTGAGTCTGCAAAAAAAGCTGAGTCTGCAGGCTGAACCATTAAAAACCGAACCCAACATAAATAAGCTAGCTCTTTAACTAAGTTGGTTAAACACTTCAGGTGAAGCAAACGCTGTTCAGATGGGAAGCAAGGAGAAGGAAACTGAGATAAATGAATGTCTCATCGTAGGAGAATCGAGGCCCCCAAAAAAGGGAAAAAAAGGTTGCAGGGACTAAAAGTGAAAAGAAGCAGCAAGTGAGAAGGCAGGCTCACGGGTGGGAAGATGTTTTAAAGCAGGTTGGAAACTGGGTGGGAGTAAATGATAAAAACGAAGTGTCAAGCGACCGGAGGCAAGGATGAAGCAAGATTCAAGGGAGGGATTAAATAAGCAACCTAAATAAACAAGAAAAGGGGATTGTAGGAAAATGAGGAAAAAAGTATAAAAACGGGGATGTCAAAATAAAAACGGGGATGTCAAAATAGGGGAGGGGGTGTAGGAAGAAGTTGTAGGGGGGAATTCAAGAGCCAAACCTTCTTGCGTGTGGGAAAAACAATGGACCACAGGAACAAAGTCTCCTTTCTGGACTCACATCTCTCCCTCCCCCCACCACCACCTTTCCCAACCCAGGATGATGGGAATGGTAGTTCAAGGCACCCTCAGAAAGGTCGACGGTTCGAATCCTTAGTATAGCACTCCTGCGTGAGCAGGGGGGTTGGACTAGATGACCTCCAAGGTCCCTTCCAACTCTGTTCCTGTTACAGAAAAGGGCCCCTTAGTCCAAACCTGACTAGGTGGCTCAAGTGGCTAAGACTCTGAGCTTGTCGATCAAGGTTCGAATCCCTAAGTACAGGTCTCCTCCTCCTGCGTGAGCAGGGGGGCTGGACTAGATGACCTCCAAGGTCCCTTCCAACTCTACTCTTACTGACCAACCATTTTGAGAGGACGCCTGTCAATCCTGGGAACGAGGGTGATGTGGTGGTGGTGGGGAGGGGGGAGTGGCAGCGTCAGGACAGGCTGCCGGGAACGATGGGCTTCTTTCCACACACCAGAGAGGATTACCCCGACACGCCCCCTTCTCACCACGCCGGCTGGGAACGATGGAGAGTGGAGTCCGTGCCACGGCGAAGCGGAGGGATGATGAACCCAGGGTGTCCCTCCTCCCCCACAAAGGAGGGATTTTATATATATATATAAAATATATATATATATAAATTTTATATATATATAAAAATTATATATATACATACATACATACATATAAATATATATATATATATATATATATATATATATATATATATAATATACATTACATACATACATACATACATACATACATATATATATATATATATATATATATATATATATATATATATATATATTTGCAGAGAGATGATTATTACCGCGCTGGCGGCTGAGCCTTCGTCGCAGGGGTCGGGGAAGGGTGGAAATTAAAGCCGCTCCGTCCCTCCGTCCGTCCGTTTCAGCCGGCCTTGCTCGTTCGCTCGCTCGGCCGCGCCGGCTCAGCTCCATCTGCGTGGAAACCACGCCAATGCCGCCGCCAGTTTCACCCCCGCCGCGGCCACCGACATCGCCTCAGAGAAGCGCGGCCGCCACTCCGGCCAGGCTGATATTACGCGCCTCAGCACGGCCGGACAAGCAGGCGGGGGGCGGGGGGGGAGGGGCCGGAGGGAGGGAAGGGGGAGGAGCTTGAGCGCGCGGGCGGGCCAATGGGCGTCTCCCGCGCGCGGGCCCCCTTTCGCCCAGCCGCCCAATCCGAGGCGGGCCACGTGACCGGCCCAAGATGGCGGCGCCCGAGGGCGGCGTGTGACCCCAGCCGAGCTGCGAGGCGACCTCAGCGCTTCGCGAAGCCGGAGCGGGTTCGGGGGAGGCCGAACTAGGAAAGACACCCCCCCCACCCACCCCCTCCGTCTGACCGGCTAGCAAAACAAAAGAAGCGCCTATAAAACGTAGGTGGAAGCTGCTGGGAAAGAAGAGTGGGGGGCGGGGAGGCGCGGATGGGAAAACTCCGTTGTCCCCTGTCTCTCCCCTCCCCCCCCCATGGGTCGGTTCTGGTTAGTAACAGAGTTGGAAGGGACCTTGGAGGTCATCTAGTCCAGCCCCCCTGCTCACGCAGGAGGAGGAGACCTGTACTTAGGGATTCGAACCTTGATCGACAAGCTCAGTGTCTTAGCCACTTGAGCCACCTAGTCAGGTTTGGACTAAGGGGCCCTTTTCTGTAACAGTAACAGAGTTGGAAGGGACCTTGGAGGTCATCTAGTCCAACCCCCTGCTCACGCAGGAGGAGGAGACCTGTACTTAGGGATTCGAACCCGCCCGACCTTTCTGATCGACAAGCTCAGTGTCTTGAGCCACTTGAGCCACCAGGCCCTTTTCTGTTAACAGTAACAGAGTTGGTAGGGACCTTTGGAGGCCATCTAGTCCAACCCCCCGGCCTGCTCACGCAGGAGACCTATACTTAGGGATTCGAACCGCCCGACCTTTCTGATTAAACCATCTGCCTGACTAGGTGGCTCAGTGGTTAAAAAGACACTGCAGCTTTGTCGGTCGGAAAGGTTTGGCAGTTTCGGCGGTTTGAATCCCTGGCGCACGGTCTCCTGCGTGAGCTGGGGGGTTGGGCTAGATGACCTCCAAGCTCCCTTCCAACTCTTGTTAACTGTTAGTGATGGACAAGCTCAGTGTCTTTAGCCACCGAGCCACCTTAGTCAGGTTCTTCTTTGTTGAAACCGGGAGGAGGCCTTCCGCGCTGGCTTCTCTCTCCTGCCAAACGGGCTTTAAATTAAATTAAATTAAATTAAATTAAATAATTAAATTAAATTAAATTATATTAAATTAAAACGGGGGGGCTGGTTAACGCGGGTGCGATGCAGGAAATCGCTGCAGAAGGGAAGACGTGCATCTCTACGTAGCTCCGGCTTGGGGTGGGCTGCCGGCAGAGACCTTTCATTGCCCAGCTGGAGAAGGTCGTATCCTGCAAGCAAACCGCTAATCCGGGATTCCGACGCAGGGAGGGGTTGCGCGGGGGGAGGCTGTAAAAGGGGAGGGCGAGGCTGCAGGACTAGGGGACTTTTTGCTACCAGCGAGAGGGAACTGGTTGCAAGGCTGCTGCAAAACGGGGCGGTGGGGCTGGTTCTTCCTGCATCTGGCCCGACCTTCCTAAGTGCTGAAAGTGGTTGGTGGAAGGAAGGAAGGATTGAAGGAGTGGATGGACAGAAGGAAGAAATTGATGGAGAGAAGGAAGAAAGGAAGGAGTGAAAGAAAGGAAAGGATAGAAGAAATGGACAGAAGGAAGAAAAGAATGGATGGGAGAGAAGGAAGGGATAGAAATTGATGGAGAGAAGGAAGAAAGGAAGGAGTGAAAGAAAGGAAGGGATAGAAGAAATGGACAGAAGGAAGAAAGGAATGGATGGGACAGAAGGAAGAAAGGAAAGGATAGAAATTGATGGGCAGAAGAAGAAAGGAAAGAGTGAAAGAAAGGAAGGGATAGAAGAAATGGACAGAAGGAAGGGATAGAAATTGATGGACAGAAGGAAGAAAGGAAAGAGTGAAAGAAAGGAAAGATAGAAGAAATGGACAGAAGGAAGAAAGGAAGGAAGGATGGGACAAAGGAAGGGACAGAAGTGGATGGACAGGAGGAAGAAAGAAGGAATGAGTGATGGGAGGGAGGGAGGGAAGGATAGTAGGGAGGAAATGGAGTTAACGTGCATGGGTTGTCTCTCGGGCTAATGAAGCACTCCAGTGTACATCAGAGCACGGAGCGTGAGGTCAGCTTCTGCTTCAGAGAACAACCAACTGTCACTTATTAAATTTATATGCTGCCCATCTCACTCTTGAAATGACACTTGTTGCCCCATGTTTTCCAACCTGTGAGGTGCAAGAAGAGCCCAGGGGAGGCGTGAAGAATCTTTTAGTGACATTGTGACACTAAATAGGCCTTTCCCAAAGTTTCCTGGCCTTGTTTTCAGTTTCCCTTGTGTTGCTCCCCTCTGGAGGAGGTTTTGAAGTATTTCTAGCAGACTACCAGATTCTGTAACAGTTTTGGTTCCCTATGTCATCCGCCTGGTAAACTGGCAAGATTCGTTTTCCTCGCCATGTACATGTATGCATACGAACTAGACTGTGTTGTGTGTCACACACATTCTTTGTGTCGTGTGTGTGTAATTTTGTATTTATTTAGTCATGTAGTGTAATTGGAGGGGTGACCCGTTGTATGCAATGAAATTTCATTTTAATGTATGCCTATTAGTGACATTCAAAGGGACAATAAAGTTATTCTAAGTTTAAGTGTTCATTTAGGGGCTGGGATATGTAGGGGAAGTGTGTTGGCAAAAAAGTTTAGGAATGCCTTGAAAAAAAATTTCCCACCAGTTTGAAGGCAGCTGTGATTTAGCATACCTAAAAGCATTGTGCATGTATTTTGCATCTTCAAATCAGTTTTAATTTTTATTAAACCTTTTTTACAGAAATAAAACCACGCAAATGGAAAGTAAAAGCAAAGGGAAAGAAAGGAAAGAGGGAGAGGCTTCTGATCTTTACAGTTTTCCAGGGTATATAAAAATAGATAGGAATAAAAGGGGAAAAAATGAATGTAGGGCATTGAAGCAAAGTGACTTGACTGATTGATCTGTGTTTCAGGAAGTTATTAAAGTGAATTGAGACATTTTACAGTTCTTCATTTTCCAGCATAGATGGTTTCCGTTGTTTAAGCTTTAACAATAAGAAGAGCAGGATTTTGATGTATAAGAATTTACTAGCTTCTTTGTTGCTTTCTTGCATTAGAGAAATAAATGGGCTTTTATCATTAAAACAATCTATTCAGTTTCTATATCTGCCAAATTTAATCAAATGACTCTGACAGCTTTCACTTTAGTTACTGCTTTGGCCATGGTAAACAAAATAAAAACCGACCTAAAAAGGCATTAATAAAATAATTATATAAAAATAATCAGTGAAAACATTAATACACTCATTCCAGCAAATAAAATATCAGAAGGCATTAGAAACTTTTGATATATACTATTTAGCAGCAGCCCATGTAAAGCTTGCTAATTTCCATAGCATTGTTCCTTCTCTCAATTCATTACATATTCAATTTTATATAAATCAGGCCAAAATGATCCTTATCAAGAGGGGGATCCAGAAATTTTCCACATGCTGAAGGGAAATAGAGCACAATAAATAATAGGTAAAATCTTATGTAGTTTGCTTGGAGCAAGGACAGAGCACATATTTATATGGGATATTATGGCCCTCTGTAGTTAATACCCTTTACTGGAATGATAAGTCTTTGAAATGCTGTTTAGAGGGAAGGCACTGTAACATCAATCTGAATAGAGCGGGAAGGGACCTTGGAGGTCTTCTAGTCCAACCCACTTATCAAGCAGGAGAAACTATACCTTTTTGCCATCATGTGCCAAAAGCGGGGGGAAACGCAGGGGGCAGCACGCACACATGCCCACACCCATAATTCAATGCGTCCCACCCCCCGTGCATGTGTGCATGACCCACCCACTGACCCCCTGCTTTTGGCACATGATGGCACGGTGGGCCCGGTAGGCCCGTTTTTCACCCACCCAAGGCTCCAGAGGCTTTCTAGGAGCCTGGGGAGGGCAAAAATGGCCTTCCCCAACCCCCCCGGATGCCCTCTGGAGGAAGGGAAACAGCCTGTTTCCCGACTTCCGGTGGGACCGTTTTTCACTCTCTCCAGGCTCCAGGTTTTCTAGGAGCCTGGGGAGGGTGAAAGCAGCCTTCCCCACCCCCACGGATGCCCTCCAGAGGCCTCCAGCATGCGCGCTGGAGCTGAGCTACGGCAACACTTGCATGCCCACAGATACGGCTCTGCGTGCCACCTGTGGCACGCGTGCCATAGGTTCACCATCACGGGATTATACCATTTGAGACAAGTGGCCGTCTCTCTTCTTAAAAACATCCAATGATGAAGCACCCACAATTTCTTAAGTCAAACCGTTTCACTGGTTAATTGTCCTCACTATTAGGCAGTTTCTCCTTAATTTCAGGCTGCTTCTCTCCTTGATCAGTTTCCATCCATTGCCTTTTGTCTTGCCCTCTGGTGGCTTTGGAAAATAAGTTGACCTTCTATTCTAAGTTTGCATTCAGTTTTTTTTTTTTGTTTTTTGTTTTATTAAGGGTGTACCAAGAGGCAATTATATTTTGTGGTAATTTAAAGAGATTTCTTTGGGCAAAGACATGCAGCACCCTGTTTTTGTAATAATAAAATGTTATTGACTCTACATCTTTCAGAAGTGCTGCAGACTGAACAAGAACAATGAACTTCTAAGCTATTCCTTACAGCACCTTAACTTTCCAGGTTCCTTCCGTGCTTTAAGAAAATCTATTAATTACTGAAAATCTAAAATGAATCTTAAAGCACTCTTTTTTTTTTTTCAGGCTTGGGAAAAAGTGGAGATCCAATGCACTGATAAGAAGCATTACTGAAGCATTACAATTCCATTATGTATGTTCTCTTTTAATCCCCTTTATCCCCTCAACGCTCCAGAGATTAAAATGGCAGGGAAAGAATTTCTGGACCACCCTATGGAGAAAAAAATCAATAATCTGAGAAGAATCCCAGAAGACAGCTGGCAGAAGAGGTTTGAAAGGCTGCCTCAGCAAGATCAGTGAGCACTAACATTTCCCAAATATCTGAATATTTAAATACAGGCGGTCCTTGACTTACAATCTTTTGTTTAGTGACCACTTGAAATGACAATGGCACTGAAAAAAGGGCCATTGTGCCACTTATGGCCATTTTTCACACCACCATTGCAGCATCCCTATGGTCACGTGATCAAAATTTGGTCGTTTGGCAGTTTGCACATTTTTATGACAATTGCAGATCATGTGATCACCTTTTGCGATCATTTGACAAGCAATGTCAAATGGGGAAGACACTTTACAGCTGTATTACTAACTCAACAACTGCATTGATTCACTTAACAACTGTGCAAAAAAGATAGCAAAATGCGGCAAAACTCACTTAATAGCTGTTTCACTTAGCAACAGAAATTTTGGGCCCAATTGTGGTCATAAGTCAAGGACTACCTTTTGACAGTTCTGTTTTCAAGGCACTCGGGAATCTGATAATGCAATGTAAATAATTAAGAAAAGATTCTTATTTTCTGAACCTCCAGAATACAGCTGAAAATACTGTATGGAGGCCAGAATTCAAACTTCCTGTCTCTGTTTGCCTCTTTTGTTTTATGGAAAGAGGATGTTTCATAGATCCTTTTTTAAAAACTCCTGAAAATTGGATTGAATTTGGGTAGGAAACTGTTGAAAATATTAATTCTCCCCCAAGTATACTGGAAATTCTGATGTAACCATAACCGTGCCCATCCCTCAAACAAAATAGTTTCAAAAGTGGGTGTTGAAAAAATAATTCACACCTGCTTTAGGAGGTGAGCAGGGCTGTGTCTGCTGCCCAAATAGTCTTTGCATTCATTACTGCTTCAGCAGTTCACCTGCACAGGTACGCATCTGTCAACCTTAAGGCTCACTCTGAAAGCTTAGAATAGTATAGAATCTCATGACATATTCCTGAGGACTAGCTTTATGAAAGATACGAGCAATCAGGTTCGTACAGTGGTGGCAATAAATGGATGCTGATTTGACAAAGGATGCTAATTTCAATAATGCTTTTTGTTTGCCTAAAAATGTCAGCCTTCCCTTAGCAGAAAGTAGTCTTGTTGCCACCACTGTATGAACCCGATTGCTTTTAGTAAAAAATGTACCCATCATGAAGCTAGTCCTCAGGAATATGTCATGAGATTCTATACTATTTTAGGCTTTCAGAGTGAGAATATTTGCTTTCCTTTTTTATTTTTTTTGCTATAGCGTGTGGTGCGCTGTGCTGATAAACAGGTTAGTGTGGTAGTTCATTGGTGCTGGCAGTAGCAATAATAACCTTCTCTTCTTCTACAGAAATTTCTTCCAAAATGGAAGCGTCGCTCTTGCCCTCAATTCAAGTCTCATTGCCTTAATATCTAATAACTTATTTCGGAAGATTCTGCATGTCACACAGGCTCGTTATTCAGCGGTTGTTGCCATGTCCATAGTGCCACTCACCACAACTGCAGCTGCTTATGAGGCTGTAGTAAATCACTCTTTGAGGACAGGTATGTGTTTTAGACTTCATCCAAATCATTCAATAATTTTTTCGATCTCTGTAATGACTATTCTGATATTTCTGGCATGGAATAGACTTACCTTCACTGAGCCAGATTGGACTCTATCCTCTTTATTACATGGTCGCTTTAATAAATAACAATTTCTAAGTGGTGGTTCTGGAATTGGTTGTCAAAGTTTTCTTTCTTTTTTTTTAATTGTGCCCCACAAAACACAACCCATTTTAGTGAGTAGTGTGTAATAGTTAAGTAAGATCCTGGTACTTAACTGCTCCAGATGAGCTAAACCTTATTTTAAAGTTGTAACTCCAATTCTTATGAGTTTCTTCTTTCCATTCACTGCACTGTACAATTCCCAGAATAATTTCCAACACATTTCACCTTTTATCATGCTTGGTTAGGGTCAGGGGTGGGCTTCAAAAATTTTAGCAAGGGGTTCTCTGCCCAGTTGCTGAGTGGGCGTGGCCATGGAGGGTGTGGCCTAGTTTGCCTCTTGCACCAGAGCTTGGGGGGGGGGCGTTTTTGCCGTCCCTGGGCTCCAGAGGTTTTTCTTGAGCCTCCGGGAGGGCAAAAACAGCCTCCCCAGGCTCCGGAGGCCGGAAACATTTCCGGCTTTCCTGAACTTCCGGTAGGCCCGTTTTTCACCCTCCCTGAGCCTCCACGTGCACCCTGCACTTACCTGCATCCAAAATGAGTCGCGTGGGGACTCCTGGAAGGGACGGGGTGGGGTGGGCGGGGCCAGCCAGGAATGGGATTTGGGGGTTCTCCAAACTGCACAGAATCTTAGCTTGAGGTTCTCCCGAACCCCTGTGAACCCCCAGCAGTCCACCCCTGATTAGGGTGCTGGAATGCCTTCCCGCTTTCAAAAGTTCTATTTTCAAAGAGATTCTGAGCAGCTTACAATATTATAAAAACAGAACTTAAAAACACAATTAGAAACGTAACCACCCAGAGAAAACATTAGAATTCATAAAGACTTGACAGGAGGTCCCCAAACTCCCTGTTCAGGCCTGTAAGGCAGAGTGATGCCTTAAGGAACTTGAAATATCCAGGACGCTAAGAGAGTGGTCATTGTATGTATCTTTGGTGAATGCTGTTTATTAGAAGTTGTGTCTTTTCAATAAATAACCGGGGGCTGCAACAGAATAGGCATGCTTCCTGAATCTCATAAAATGACAATTGTTAACTGACTGTACTTGAGAGCACCTATTCACATGGATAGAAATGAACGGATGCAAATGGACTCTCAAAATAGCCAGACCCTTTTCCGTGAAAATCCAGCACCTTGAATTGCACCTAGAAGCCATGTGCAGCTTGCCCAACAGCAATGATACATGGACATGACCTAAGAAGCTCCCATTACTACTCTCAGACTGCTGCATTTTGGACCAGCTATAGCTTCTGGATAGTCTTCAAGGGCAGACCCATGTACAGCACCTTGCAATACTTCAATTGCCAGGTAATCAGATTCCAGTTGAGGATATTAATCACGTTTTTACATGAAGATGCACACCGTACTTTTTTCTATGGCTGCTACATTGTGGAGAAGTGGCATCTTTACTGAAGCTCTGCCTATTCCAAGGCAGAAGCATCCAATAGGATGCGTGTTTTCCAAAGCCATTTTATGAAACATTCTTTAAGAAAATGATGAAACTAAAGCAGCACTGGAAAAGACATAGGCAGCAAAATTCGGACAGGCATCAATGTAGTCTGAACAATCTGTTTTTCTGATAGTATTGCAACCAAACTAGACTAAACTGTTTTTTAAATATACAGAATTTTTCCTCTGATCCATTGTTTCTCAACCATGACAGCTTTTTTAAGATACGCGGAATTCAATTCCCAGAATTCCCCAGTCAATTCTGGGAGCTGAAGTCGGCACATCTTAAAAATTGCTAGGGCTATCTGAGAAAAAGTGATTGAAGACATATAAATCTGCATTCAGAATGGGTAGTTTGAAAAACCCAAGGCCCAAAAAATTAGGCATTTCCTTCAAATTTGTTTTGAGTGTTCTCTTGCAATGGAAATCTGAAACAATTCCATGTTCCTTCATGTTTTGATTAGGACCACCATCACCAGGTGATGGACATCTTGGAGCTACCTATGCAACCTACAGAAAACTAGCTAAGATATTAGCATTCCTGAAGGTGTGCTTCTGTAATTTAAAAATAATTAAAATAACCCTGGGCCAATTACTTTGCAGGCCATGTAGTAGAACTTGGCATGGACTACTGCGCTAATTTATGGTTCAGGGAGAAGGAAGGGGGGCAGGAGAGAGGAAGGGAGAAAGAAAGAGAGAGAGAAAGAAAGAAGGACGGAAGCAAGCAAGCAAGCACAGGAATTTGGGACACTTTAAATGTTCCAATGGTGCTTGGAACATAACATTTTATGTCACATGCTCCATACCTAACCTAATCCCACAAAAGGAACATTATCAGCATGCAGCATGTCCATTGCAATTTTTCTGGGACAGGATTTTAAACTACAAATACTAAATTCAGTTCATTCCATTATTGTTTCAGGTAAATTAAATTGTGAAATCTGTGCTATGGTGAGAGGTGGTTTAGTAGGAGCTGTCATGGGCTTTTTCTACCCCGTCATTCTAGCGCTGCCTCTGAATGCATTGCTGGCTACAAGGTATGTTTCAACCGCATTGTTCTATTAAGCACTCTTGTTAGCATTTTATTTGCAGGAACCAAGATTGTGTTCTCATTGATCGTGGGGCCAGCGGTCAGGAATGGGTTAACTCTCATCTGATGTCTATGGACTGAGTCTACAAGCTGTTAAGCTCCTCCTCTTCCTTCTGCTTCCCAGCTTTCAGACTTGGTCTGATTTGGACAAGACAGAGATTGCTGAGCTGCCCATTTCTGACCATTTACTCCCCAATTAGTGGAGTCTTTTTTCTTCTATAGTACTCCCGTTCATCTTGGTTGAGCTTGCCAGCGTGAAAGGTTTTGCACCCGAGCCCGCTGAAGGCCAATTGTTGGCATACAGGGCTGGGGCTCCCAGTGTTGGTAGAGCCCCACCACCACAGCGTGAAGGGCTCACGCCCGATACCGCTGTATTCCGAAAAGGATTACAGGAGCCTCCCAGCGTGGCTGGTAGCAGGCTCTTCTTTGTTTCCGGCGGGTCGGTTTTAGCCGACAGCTGCGCTTACGCCCACTGCTCGAACTGGTGCGTCTTCGGGAGCCTCCCAGCATCGCTGGTCGCAGGCTCCGGCGTTAGTCCAGCGGGTCGGCTTCGGGCCAACTGCCACTGAAGGCTGCAGGTAACGCGGCGTTCCTGTCAGCTGACAGGAGCACAGAGCGGCGTTTGTTGTTATTGTTATTTATTAACCAGTTGCTTGAAAATCAAATGTCTACGAAACTACGTGCTTTCAGTCTTATAAGCTTCCATTTTCCTGGAATTTCTGGGCATAATTCCAAAAATCCTGTTTATCCATTGCTTCGGTTTTGCGAGATAGTCTGTTTTCAATATATAAGCATTCATTGATGATCTTTCACTGTTTAAACTATGTGGGTAAGAAAAACGTTGGGATGTAAGCCTTAATTGTATGTAATTATCCAACATGATCGTGTAGATGGTAGGATTCTGTACCTTCCTGTCTTTATGTACTAAATTATTTTCTTAATTTAAATGTTTTCTTCAACTTCATGAGAATATGGGTAGTCCTTGGCTCATGATGACAACTGGGATCAAAATCGCCTGGCAACAGCGATTTTCATAGTCCTGGCTGCTGCCATCAATTCATTAAACAGCTTGCAATTCCCTACTTGAGGGAAGCCAGCAGAAAATGACGGAAATCATGACCATGGGGCATTGCAATGTTGTAATCTTAAAATGGGATCCAATGACATGGCCATGGGGATCCTGCGATGGCCAGAACTTGAAGACCTGTGATAAGTCCCCTAATTCAGCACCAACGTAACTTCAAATGGTCGCTGAACAAGTGGTCATAAAACAAGGACTACCTGTAGGGAGAGGGAACAGGGTTCCAGAATGTAATGAATTAACATTACAATTAAAACCCATTATTGCAAAAGCTTTACACCTAAATCTGTACCCTTCTTTATACAGGTAGTCCTCAACTTACGACCACAATTGAGCCCAAAACTGCCATTGCTAAGCAAGTCAGTTGTTAAGTGAGTTTTGCCCCCATTTTACGATCTTTCTTGCCACAGTTGTTAAGTGAATCATTGCAGTTGCTAAGCTAGTAATATGTTTGTAAAGTAAATTTGACTTCCCTGTTGACTTTGCATGTCAGAAGGTCGCAAAAGGTGATCTACTTGATCCCGGGACACTGCAACCGTCATGAGCCAGTTGCCCATTTTGATCACGTGACCACGGCGATGCCACAACTAAGTGTGAAAAATGGTCATAGGTCACTTTTTTCAATGCCGTCTTAACTTCAAATGGTCACTAAACGAATGTCTGTAAGTAGAGGTCTACCAGTACCCTCCTTTGAATAACATTATTCAGGGATGGTAAATTTTAGAAAGAAACTTGTCGGCAATTTATTTCCTTCTCGGTAGTGGAGTCTGTTTTAAACTGGGAAATGGGTCCTTTCTAACTGAGTGACAAAGCTGTTAATTCCTAAGTTATCGCAATCTTAGCCAAACTCTTCTTCATAACCTTTTCTCCCTCTTCCAGGTACTATACTGCTCCCTTGCCAAACAAAGACAATGCAGTGCGATTCTGGATCTTGCTTAGTAAACCGATTTTCAAAAAGATGAGATTTGCTGCTCTCATCCAAGTTTCTTTTGGCGCGTACCTTGCCTCAAGACACTACGACATATATCTCAAAGCGATCCGCATGCCTGAACCTGGAAGGGATCCCGAGGAAATCAGAGAATAAACCTTTAAAAGGGTGTTTAGCTTTTATTTGATTGGAGTTCTTTCAAGGTTTGGATAACTTCTGAACATTCTAGTATGGTTTGGGTCATTTATATATCAACTTTGTGAAAGTGGGAAAATTGAGACACCATCACCACTCCCCAATCCCAAGGAGAATCTTAAAAGGGATCTGTGCCGTACTGCAAGGGAGTAACCAACAACACTGGGTGAATGAGAAAAGCAACAACTAAACTTTTGGGGAGGGAAGTAAAGAAGTACTGTTGAAAAAGAAGCTATGTATAGATATACTTATTTATATAAAGTTTATAAATACACTTATCTACATATGTACACAGTGACAAATGCATCCAATACATAGAGATCCGTTCCAGTCGGGTTTCAGGCCTGGGCAGAGCACGGAAACGGCATTGGTCGTGTTGGTGGATGATCTCTGGAGGGCTCAGGACAGGGGTTGTTCCTCTGTCCTGGTCCTATTAGATCTCTCGGCGGCTTTTGATACCATCGACCATGGTATCATGCAGCACCGACTGGAGGGGTTGGGGATAGGGGGCACCGTACTGCGGTGCTTCTCCTCCTTCCTCTCCGACCGGTCGCAGTTTGTGTTGACGGGGATAGAGATCGACCTCGAGGCGCCTTGTGTGTGGGGTGCCGCAAGGGTCGGTTCTCTCACCCCTTTTGTTCAACATTTATGTGAAGCCACTGGGTGAGATCATTCGTGGTTTCAGGGTGAAGTGTCACCTGTACGCTGATGATACTCAGCTGTACATTTCCACCCCGGACGTTGATGTGATGTCCCGGTGCCTGGAGGCCGTGCGGATCTGGATGGGGAGAAACAGGCTCAGGCTCAACCCGTCCAAGACCGAGTGGCTGTGGCTTCCGGCATCCCGATATAGTCAGTTGGTACCATCGCTGACTTTTGGGGGTGAATCGTTGGCCCCCACAGAGAGGGCTCGCAACTTGGGTGTCCTCCTGGATACACGGCTGTCTTTGGAAGAGCATATGACGGCTGTGGCTAGGGGGACTTTTTATCAGGTTTGCCTGATCCACCAGTTGCATCCCTTTCTGGATCGGGATGCCTTACGCACGGTCACTCATGCCCTAGTCACGTCCCGCTTGGACTACTGTAATGCTCTCTACATGGGGCTCCCCTTGAGGAGCACCCGGAGGCTCCAACTGGTCCAGAATGCGGCCACGCAGGTGGTTATGGAGGCGACTCGGCGCTCCCATGTAACACCTCTCCTGCGCGAGCTGCACTGGCTCCCGGTGGTCTTCCGGGTGCACTTCAAGGTATTGGTTACCACCTTTAGAGTGCTCCATGGCATAGGACCCGGGTATTTACGAGACCGCCTTCTGCCACCGGTAGCCTCCCACCGACCAATACATTCCCACAGAGAGAGGCTCCTCAGGGTGCCGTCAGCCAAACAATGCTGGCTGGCGGCCCCCAGGGGGAGAGCCATCTCTGTGGGGGCACCTACCCTCTGGAACGAGTTGCCCCCGGAGATACGGCGGATCCCGGATCTGCGCACTTTCCACCGTACCCTAAAGACGTTTCTGTTTCATCAAGTCAGGCTGACCTGACCTAACTTTTTTAAATTGTTTTAATTTTAAATTGTTAAAATTATGGGTTTTAATATAGGGGTGTTTTAACTGTGGGCCAAATTAATTTAATTGGATTTTAATATTGTTTTAAATTTTGTATTTTTTGTATTTTATCTGCTGGCTGTTCACTGCCCCGAGTCCTTCGGGAGAAGGGCGGTATACAAATATAATAAACATAAACATAAACATAGAGCCCTTCCTGGAGCACATGAAAAGCATTGAGCAATATTTCTAGTAATCCAGCATCGATTGTTGATATATATACGAGAGAGTTGACACAAGTATTTCTCGGTTATTTCCCCAATCCAGAACAAAATGGGGGCAATTTCATGTAAGACTCCAACAATAACTCAACCTACCCAGTGAAAAAAAAATGGCAACATAGCTAACAACATAGGCAGTCCTCGACTTAACGATCAGTTGCTTAACAACAGTTCGAAGTTGCAACAGACCTCCCCAGAGCTACTTGCAATTCATTTTCGAAATCCCAATGGCTGCACTCAACCTTAAAGATAAAGGTATCCCCTGTCCAGCTGTGTCCGATGCTAGGGGGCAGTGCATAAGGGAGTCAGCATTGTCTAAAGACGTTTTTGTGGTCATGCGGCCAGCATGACTATGCCAAGATGCACGGAAGGCTGTTATCTTCCCATCGAAGTGGTATCTAATTATCTTGAGTTTGCATGGTTTGGAACTACTAGGTAGGCAGGAGCTGTGGTAAGTAACAGGAGCTCACCCCATCATGCGGAGCTCGGCTCTCGAACTCAGGCTAGCTCAGCATCTTAACTGCTGAGTCATTGTGCCCCCTGCACACACCTCTACGGTCATGTAACTGCATTCTGAGCACTTGGCAGCTGGCTCACCTTTACAATTTGCAGTGGCTGACAATCCCATGACAGCAGTTTGTGCTGTTTTACTTCCAGTTTCTTGGAGGTGACTGGGAAGGGGGGGGGATGCCCATTGGGGGAACAAATTCGCTCAACCATCCTAAGAAATGGTCACAAAATCAGACCCGGTCATGTAATGCTTCGACCTATGAACCACAACGATTTACAACCATAATTATGGGCTCTATTATGATCCTACCTTGAGGACTACCGGTAGGGGAATAGAATCATGCAGCTGGGGCTTTCATCAGAAATACTTGTGCGCAAGGAAAGATCTTGGAAGATCTCATATATCAGAATTCTTTCCTTAAACAAATCAGTTGATTAAGAATTATAAGTGTAGCTTCAAATCTGCTGGGATATACCTATTTCCAGGTTTAAATATCCACATTATTATTACGCAAAGAACAAGCAAGACGTTAAGTCTGTTTAGTAGCCAATCCAGTATTCAAAATACCACTTGCCCACCTTCCCAGTAAGTACTTCATCTATCCCATAGGCCACCATTTTTGCTAGTCACCCCTATTCACTCATTACTACACCTACTTGCCCTATTAACTATGTGTTTGGATAACATCCTTATAGCTACTAAAATGTAAGACAGGATGGCAACTCTTAATTCTCGAAAGATGTGCTGCTGTCAAATAGAATTATCCCACAGAGGCAAGGGTTCATTAAAAGCCTCAAGTACCTAAATTAACTAGTGCCAAGAGATACATCCTCATTAAAAATGAGTCATGTCCTCAGCATCTTTTTCAATGTGTGCAGGGCTGATGATGGAGTAGAAATTTTAATCCTGCAGCTAAGGCCCACGTGACTGTGGAGACATTGGCTGGGAAATCAGGACTGCATGAAGGAAATTGTTAACACTGTGGTATCAGGGCGAGATTTTCAACTGTTTTGCAAATCTGGAGCTTTCTCCAAAGTTGAAGAATTGAGACCATCTGAAGCAAACTGGCCCCCACTCAAAACACAGACCAAACCCAATCATTTCCACCGCTAGCTTTTAGTGCCGCAGTACAGGAAGCTGTACAGGTAGTCCGCGAGTTATGACCCACAATTGAGCCGAAAATTTTATTTTTGCTAAGTGAAACGTTTTGTTAAGCGAGTTTACCCTGTTTTATGACTTTTCTTGCCGCAGTTGTTAAAAGTGAATAACTGCAGCTGTTAATAAGTGACTGGATTCCCCATTGCTTGTCGGGTCGCAAAAGATCACATGGACCTTGGGACATAGCAACAGTCATAAATATGAACCAGTTGCCAAGCACCTAAATTTGATCATGTGACCATGGGATGCTGCAATGGTTATAAGTGTGAAAAAGATTAAGTCTCTTTTCAGTGCTGTTGTAACTTTGAATGGTTACTAAATGAACTGTTTTAAATCGAGGACTACCTGTATATATAGGATGCTGAGCAACTAGTTGCTCAGACCTGCTCTAAATTATTTTTGTGCCCTAAAGCTCAAATACTTACTAGTGCAAGTACCATTTATCTTTCTCATATGCCTCCTTGAAGAAGTCCAGACTTGACTACTTTTTAAGATTGTCTTTAGTACCTTTTATTCAGTGTAGTTCTAATTATGTTAATATACACCCAGATATGAGTCATATTGAGTTTTTTTATTATTAGAAAAGGATAATTTTAGATCATATGTGAAATCCAAAATGGTATGTTTCAAACCCACAATAAGCCACTTTTCAGACATTTTACTTCCAAACAAAAGAGAATTTGGGACACTTCCATTTTGCAAGGTGAATATGGGTAATCCTTGCCTTACAACAGTTCATTTAGTGACTATTCGAGGTTACAGGGGCACTGAAAACAGTGACTTGTGACCGTTTTTAACAAACCACTGCAGCATCCCCATGGTCATGAGATCGGAGATGACTCTTAATTTATGATGGCTGCAGTCCTGGGATCATGCAATCACTTTTTGTGCCCTTCTGACCAAAAAAAAAAAAAAAAAAGATTAAAAAAAAAAGATGTTGAGACTTTGGAAAAAATGCAAAGAAGAGCAACGAAGATGATTAAGGGCCTGAAGACAAAAACATATGAAGAATGGTTGCAGGAATTGGGTGTGGCCAGTCTAGAGGAGACATGATAGCAGTATTCCAGTGCTTAAGGGGATGCCACAAAGAAGAGGGGATCAAACTTATTTTCCAAAGCACTGAAAGGCAAGACAAGAAACAACGGATGGAAACTAATCAAGGAGAAAAGCAATCTGAAATTAAGGAGAAACTTCCTAACAGTGAGGACAATTAACCAGTGGAACAACTTGCCTTCAGAAATTATGGGTGTTTCATCACTGGAGGTTTTTTTTTAAAAAAAGACTGGATTTGAAATGGTATAGGGTCTCCAGCTTGAGCAGGGGGTTGGAACAGAAGACCTCCAAGGTCCCTTCCAGCTCTATTCTGATTGAAAATCAATGGGGAAGACAGATTCACTTAACTTATTGCAGTGATTCACTTAACAACTATGGCAAGAAAGGTCATAAAATGGGGCAACTGTCTCAATTAGCAATAGAAATTTGGGGCTCAATTGTGGTCGTAAGTCAAGAACAACCTATATAGCAAGGCTTTGCCCCTTCAGATATACCCATGTCCCAACACCCATTTTTCCTAGCACCTCACCTCAACCACCACTGATACACTGGCCTGTATGCTTTTTCCTTGTCAAAGGATCAAGGAATGGCTTTCCAGTGTGGCATACAGCACTGGCATGTTCACCCACAATCTTATCAAAATCCTCCTTCCTCTGAATGACAATCAATGGTCCTTGGCTTATCCTCACTTTTGTCTTTTTAAACTACTTCTGCTCAAAACATCACACCAGCCCATTTTTTTAGCAAAATAACTATGTTTCATTCTCTATATGGGCCAAAGGGTTTGAGAACAATGCATTTTGCACATTCTTAATTAATTTCACCAAGACATTGGATCCAGCAGAATTCTGCATAGAAATCTAAAGCATAAAGGGTAGATTTCAATAGGAGCATCTTATTCATACATAATCCAGACTTGGAATCCTTAAATAAGACAATCGTTATCTAGTTTATAGAAATATTTAGTTCATCTGAATATTAGCAATGCCAAGACCCCAAAAATACTAGTGAAGATTATATACCACTTGGTTAAATACTACATATACTTCTTGAAATGAACTGTGTTGTCTGAACAGTACTTAATATAAACATTCTTCTAGTCAATAAAGCATATTGCAGTTTCTTGTATGGATAAAAACTGACAAAATATCAGCTATAGATACCAAACTTTGTGCAATTGACAGGGAAAAAACCCCCAAAATGCATAGGTATAATCAAGCAGTGAACAAAGTACTGACCCCAAATGTTTAAATGGCCACTTCAAATTTTAATTCTGGGAACAAAATTAAACTAAACACTGTTTTGGTAATGCCAAATTATTTTTCAATGAAATGTCAAAGTCTGCATAAAGTTTCACAGAATTCTGGGAGTTGAAGTCCACAGATCTTAAAAGCTGCCATGGTTGGACACCCCTGGTTTAGCTAAAAGAGGTTTTTTTTTGGCGGGGAGAGGTCTGGGCATGTATGGCTTTGGGGGAAGAATTTGGGGATATCCTTACTGCACAAGGTTTTTTTCAGGAAGAAAACCTGATTGGGGGAAAAAATGAATTCACCCTGGAGGAGACAGAGAAACTGGGATGAGAGGCGTATTTAATTTGTGGCACATCAAGAATTAGAATGCATGGAATCATGAAACAACCTTGTTCCATATATAGTCCTTAACTTAACAACCACAATTGGGACCAGAATTTCGGTCACTAAGACAATGAGTGAGACAGTGAACAAGTTGCACCAGATTTTACGACCATTTTTGCCAAAGTTAAGTGAATTGCTGTAGTTAAGTGAATCCTGTGGTTGTTAAGTGAAACTGGCTTTCCTCGCTGACTTTGCTTGTCAGAAGCCGGCGGGGAAGACTGCAAATGGCAATCACATGACCCTGGAGGCTGCAACTGTCATAAATACACGTGAAGTGCCTGAATTTTTATCGTGACCGCAGAGATACCCAATGGTTGTAAGTGTGAGGACCAGCCAAAAGTCAGGTTTTTTTCAATGCCATGGTAACTGAACGGATGCTAAATGGATGGTTGTAAGTTGAGGACTATCTGTAAGGCTATATTTTTTTTTATCAGCAGCCTGTTTCCCAGGGAGGGTTAAAAAAAATATACCGTATTTTTTGGACTATAAGACGCATCTAGATTTAGAGGAGGAAAACATCAGGTTCGCCTGATTCGCCAGTTGCGTCCCTTTCTGGATCGGGACTCTTTACGCACGGTCACTCATGCCCTTGTCACCTCCCGCCTGGACTATTGCAACGCTCTCTACATGGGGCTCCCCTTGAGGAGCACCCGGAGGCTCCAACTGGCGCAGAGTGCGGCCGCGCGGGTGGTAATGGGAGCGACATGGCGTTCCCATGTAACACCTCTCCTGCGCGAGCTGCACTGGCTCCTGGTGGTCTTCCGGGTGCGCTTCAAGGTTTTGGTTACCACCTTTAAAGCGCTCCATGGCTTAGGACCCGGGTACTTGCGGGACCGCCTACTACCACCAATAGCCTCCCACCGGCCGGTACGCTCCCATAGAGAGGGGCTCCTCCGGGTGCCGTCAGCCAAACAATGCCGACTGGCGGCCCCCAGGGGGAGAGCCTTCTCTGTGGGGGCACCTACTATCTGGAACGAGCTCCCCCCAGAGATACGGAGGATCCCGGATCTGCGCACCTTCCGCCGCGCCTTAAAGACCTTACTATTTCACCAGGCCGGCCTGGCCTAATTTTCCCCCTCTTTTATAAAAGATTTTTAAAATTTTAAATATTTTTTAGTATTTATATATTCAATTTTAAATTGGTTTTAAAAGTTTGGGGTTTTAAATTTGTCGGGGCCAAAATTATTTAATTTGATTTTATTCTATTTTTTAAATTTTGTATTGTATGTGTTTTTATTGTTTGGCTGTGCACCGCCCTGAGTCCTTCGGGAGTAGGGCGGTATAGAAATCTAATAAATAATAATAATAATAATAATAATAAATAAAGAAAAGTTTTTGGTCTCTGTGCTATTTTTGCCCAAAATGCACCTGTTTTTGGCCTGCAATGCTTCTGGGGGCTGGGGAGGGCAAAAACACAACTCATGGAGGGTTCGGGAGGCCAAAAACAGGCCCGTATTCAGTCTATAAGACGCAGCGAAATTTTCACCCTCTTTGGGGGGGGGGGAAGTGTCTTATACTCTGAAAAATACCGTACATAACATATTTAGTGAGTCGGTATAATTCAGCCATAGCTGAAGTATGTCACTGCACATACTTAATTTTTTAGTAATCAACATTTATAAAATGATTTGTAAATGCAGAAATTTTAGTTTTGCTCATTGTTGTTTAAACCTTGTCACTGTTTTTTAATCTTGTATTGAGTACATTTTTAAACAATGGCTGAAAATCACTATCAAAAGTCTATAAAACAAGTAGTTTTAACTGCCTGGTATATGGTTATTATTCTCAAGCATGGAAATATACATATGAGATCAATAAATTTTGCCTGAGCAAGGTAATCGCTAGTGGTTATTTTCTATACTAAAAGAAATATTCAATTCTTGTTTAGTTTTGTAATTTTTATGTTAAGTAAACCATTCTGGAAGCATTTGTTGAAAAATGATACCGAAACTTAAAGCATCCTAAATAAATGCTGCTACATCATTATCAATCACAGAAAAAACCTCTGAACACTAATATAAATCCATCCCCAGCCAGAAAAATACACACAATTATATTGGTTAATTTATAATACATCTTTTAACATTGTACAAATCATTTCTGAATGAGCCACCCGGCCAAACCACCATTTTATAGAAAATTAAGGGATTTGATAAAAAAACAGCCTTGAGTCTTTGACTGAAGGTAAACATTTTTAATTTGAATAGATGTCCTCATAAGTATGCCTGAATTACTTACACAGAAACACTGACATATTTTCGAAGTACTATTAGGATATTCCATTCAAGCTTTAATTTCAAGAAATAATCAAACTGGTTAACAAGGACAAAATATTTGCAAATCTATTTGGCTTGAATATGTTTTAGTAGGCACTAAAATCCCTGCAGGTCTTCACTTCTGGGCTTTTGCCTAAGCAAATGTGTCACTCACTTTCTATGCTGAGAATGGTATTCAAGGCAACAGTTTATTTTTCAACGACACACATGGTTAAATACCCAGAATATATATATATATATTTTAATCTCACAACATTTTAAATGATACAAAAGAAAAGAGGATTCCATTTCACAATAATGCAACATTAACAAAATGACTTCTGTGAAAAGCAATTTAAAAAGGCATTTGCTTCTTGAAATACAACCACAGACAAGTATGTCACAAATCTTTCCTCCTGTTGGCCAAAGGCTATCGGCAATACAAAAAAAGAAACCACTAAATTCTATCGAGTCCCAAGAGACTAAATGAATGAATTACGGACAATAAATTGCTGCCATTTAAAGATATTGAAGCATGATTAAAAACTGAGAAATTTGTCTATATTTTCATATTTCAGTTTATTATCTGGCAAGGACTACTACATTTAGAAGACTTCTAAAAAATAGCCACTTACTAAGTATGGGATAATATCAAGAAATGAACTGGTAAAGAAATTAGTTCTCTGCAGTGCTGCAACTGCCTTAAGAAAAGACTTGCCAGTTTCCTTGTAGGTGCTCCTACTGATTTAGAGATGGGAATATGTATAGGTACATTAATATAGCAGATGTGACAATAGAAGTGAAAACAGCTACTGTACATCAATTAAAAGAGAATTAAAATAGTCTTCGCAGCAATCCTAATTCTAGCTTGGGAAATTTAAGGAGTTATCAATCGTCTGATACATGAATAAAAGTTTGAACAATTTAGTCAATTTCAGAATATGAAAACATGAAATAGCCAGTGAGAAAGCAAATGCTTTTTTTTAATGATGCCACTTTTCACATCAGTATATTTAATTTCTTGCTAGATTGGATTAGTTGTTCAAAACATTGTTACCCTGTTCAGTGTTGTTTTCAAAGTGAAATACAGCCAATGCCCTGTTACCTTGCTCCCTTTTTCTCATACTACCTTTTAAAATAAAGCAGGAAGGGTGGCCAGCAGCTGGTCCCGTCTCTTCTGCCCATGACAGCTGTATCCACTTCAGCATAAAGAAAAACAAGGATGCTAAATATACACATACTTCATTAAACAGCAAGGTTTCACAAAGAAAATCTTGTGGTTGAACACGCAACAGATTTTGAGAATTTTGCATTTCATTCATGGGAGAAATATTCATATGTTTCTAATTCGAGACAAGATAAGAGGAAGCCTTTGTGGAGGCAACTCATTTTTCCAGGTTTAATATTCTTTGTGAAACCTCACTTTACATTATTTCACAACCCTTATTTCCCCATTTTACAGAAGTTTAAATATAAAGCACTTAAACGCAACAGTCAGTTGATGCAGGGAAAACGTATGTGCTAGCCCCCAAACCAGCATGAGCTTGTCGGCAGAAAATCTTCTCCACCCTAGACAGGAACAATTGCATAAATGTGTGGGGGAGAATATATATTTGTTCATTTACTTTTTGAAAACTTTCAAACTGGCATGCCACTTTCATTTCAGTACAATTTAGCAAAATGGAGGTCTCATTTTAAGAGACCTGCATGAGACAAAACTAAACAAAATTCACTAGACTAAAATATTTCTAGGTAGTCTTCAAAATGCATGCAGCAATGTAGTGATAGAACACTGATTATTACTAAAACAATCTGTGGGCTTATCTGCTTCCTTGCAGATAAGGACACATTATTATAGTAACTGAATAGCCAAGTATATGGACAAATAATCCATCTCTTATTAACTGGGAAAGCTTATAGCAATTGCCTCCTCACTAAACATAGTCAAAACTGCAAAACTCAGTAGTTTACTCTACTAGAAAAGTCCAAGTTCTAAAGTAAATGTTGAGGTATATTTTATTTCTTTAAAGATATACTCACATTGTCTCAGTCAAAAAAAATGGTTTTGATTCCCCTTTCTCCACGCAACATATTGCTAAATGTACATTTAGCAGCATTTTCCTCCCCACCCCCCAATCTTAACCTGTTATTTTAAAATATTACATTAAAATAATTTCTACAAGTGTTTCGTCAGGAACATGTTAAAAATTTAGAATGACAGGGGAAAGTAGTGCTAACTTGAATAGCCATTACTTGAAACTTGATTAATCAAAATTAACTAATTTTTGGAACTGCTTCCAGACCGACTTCTAACTCCTGGACCAGACCAAATCTTTTTTTTTTTTTTAAAGAAAAACAGGCTAAGTACCAATGCAAATTGTCTGATACCACATTATGGGAATATTATGGATCCTTACCAGGTTGCGAGGTGGTAAACGACTGTTCTTTTAACCCCTACACAACGGAGCCTGGCAGGGCAAGCACCTAAAAGAGAAACTGTCAGAAAAGTTTAATAGTAATGTATAACAGATGTCTTACAATTTTCACATGCATGTTTTTTTTTTTTTAAACTACCTGCTGTGCATTATATTACTATTTGGATGTTAAGTCTCTCTCCAGCGAAGACGTTGACGTTTAAGCATTTTGTTTTTCAGCCGTCTTTTTAAGCAACAGAGCAGGGCTAGATTTTTATTTATTTTTTTAATCTATTCCCACCATTATTCATTTCATGGGAACCTTTAAAAGTTACTTCTGCCCTTTTCGGGCATATTCTTACCACCACTGTCTACCTGCTTTCTCCATTGCTGCAAGTACACAGTGACAAAGAGCCGTTTTGATCAATAGTGCGCCTGCATAAAACATTTCAGCCAACAGCACTGCTGGGGCGTCCTGGACGCCCACCCCACACTTGACACAAGATGATCCTCCAACACACAGGGGAAAAAAGGTGGGGGGGAAGTTTTTGCATTTCTTCCCCCCCACCTCCTTTCCAATAAGCAAAGGCTGCTCTAACCAAAGAAGCCAGCTTTCTCATCACTTTCCCCATTTATCGCTGGTTTCTTTTCTCTTTTTTTTATTATTTTATTTTATTTTACATTCCTCTTCCTCTCCTCTCCCTCTCTTTTAACTGCATCCTCCTCTAGCAACCCCTGGGATGATGGCAGCAGGCAAGAGACACCCGGAGTATTGTATTTTATTATTTTTAAAGTTCTGACGAAGAAGTGGAAATACTTGACCCTACATTTTGGAGAGCAAGGAGGAAGCAGCAGGAGGAAGAGGAGGAAGAGGAGGAGGAGAAGAAGCAGCAGCAGCGGCCGCCAAAGTCTCCGAGCTGGCCGCCCGCTTGGCGCAGAGAGAGCAAAACTCCACCGAAAGGTGGTCGCGGTCCACGTGGAGGCAAACGCCGCCGGGTCTGGCCGACGAGGAGGACGACGAGGAGGAGGAGGAAAGGAGCTTCTCCGCCGGTTCTTCCGCCGGGATCGGGAGCGCGTAGTCGTGGTCGCCGTTCTCTCCGAAGGCTCCGGCCGCCGTTTCTCGGAAGAGGCTGGTGCTGATCCTCATGCGGAGCCCTAAGCTGCCGTCTCCGGCTAAGCGTCCGAGCAAGCGGCCCAAAGCGCTCTGGTTAGCCAGCACGGCCCTCAAGTAGCCCGTCTCCCGTTCCAGGTCGCGCAGGCGTCGGCAGAGGCCCCGGTTGCGGTCGCGGAGCTGCCGGTTCTCGGCCGCCAAGCCTTGCAGCCGCGTCTCCAGGCCTTGCACGTACAGCTTCTTCTTCTGCCGGTTGAGGCGAGCCGCCGCCGCCGCTTTCAGGCGGTTGCCGCCCGGGCGCGTCGGCCTGGAAGAGCTCGAAGGCCGCGACGCCTCGGCATGCGGACTCGCCCTGCCCCAGGCCGGAGGAGGGGAAGCCTCGCCGCCGCCCACCGCGGCCTCCAGCCAGGCGTCCAGCTCCAGCCCCGCGGGGAAGAGCAGCTCGCCTTCCTCAGGCTCCTCCAGGGAATCTTCGGCCATGGCCGCCGCCGCCGTTTCCGTCTCCTCCTCAGGCCGCCGCTCGACTCCCGGGCTTGGAAACGAGCAGGCCGCGACCGGCTCTCCGGGTTTTCCCTGGCCCGACGAAGCCGCTAAGAGCTGGGCCAGACTGTGGCGCATGATAGCGGTCTAGCCGTTGCCCCCGGATCCCTCCAAGGCGGGCCCGGTTGCGATGAGGCCTTCGGGTCAGGCTGGGCCTCAGCGCCGCTCTCCCCGAAGAGGGTGGGGGGGAGGGGGGAAGGAGAGGCGGCAGCGGCGGCGGCCACTTTCGCCTCAGGCCTCGCCCGTTTTTTTTTGTTTTTTTTTTTTTCTTTCACGCGGCCGCCTTCTCCCCGCCTCACGCACAGATACAGACACGGCGCGACTGCGCCTGCGCACGCTCCGGCGCTCTGCCTGAGCATTCTGGGAGTAGAAGTCCGGCAAAGGGGAGGGGGGCGGAGCCTGTATGTAGAATACTCCTGTGTATAAAAAGGTAAATAAATGGTGCGCTGAAGTTGCAGGTTTTGGTCTCTGGAAAGTTTTGGAGGCGAAGAGATTCGGGGAAACTAGGGGGCTTTTCTGGTCGTCCCGAGCTTTGTCAGCCGAGCGGGGCAGCACAGATCGCCTGGTTCCCCAAAAGTGCTTTTTTGCTTTTTCAATCCTTTCTTTCTTTCTTTCTTTCTTTTTCTCTTTCTTTCTTTCTTTCTTTCTTTCTCTCTCTTCCTTCTGTCTCTCTCTCTTTTTCTATTTTTTCTTTTTTTTTTCTTTCTTTCTTTTTTTTCTTTCTCTTTCCTTCCTTTATCTCTCTCTTTCTCTCTTTCTTTTTTCTTTCTTCCTTTTTTTTCTTTCTATTTTTTTTTTTCTTTCTTTCTTTCTTTTCTTTCTTTCTTTCTTTCTTTCTCTTTCCTTCCTTCTGTCCTTCCTCTTCCTCTCTCTGTATCTTTTTCTTTTTCCTTCCTCTATCTCTTTCTTTTCTTTCTTTTTCTCCTTCCTTCCTCTTACTCTCTCTGTACCTTTCTCTTTCCTTCCTTCCTTCTTCTCTGTAACTCTATCTTTTTCTTTCTTTCTTTCTTTCTTTCTTTCTTTCTTTCTTTCTTTCTTTCTCTTTCCTTCCTTCCTTTTCTCCTTCCTCTTCCTCTCTCTGTATCTTTTTCTTTTTCCTTCCTCTATCTCTTTCTTTTCTTTCTTTTTCTCCTTCCTTCCTCTTCCTCTCTCTGTACCTTTCTCTTTCCTTCCTTCCTTCTTCTCTGTAACTCTATCTTTTTCTTTCTTTCTTTCTTTTTATCTCTCTCTTCCTTTTTTCTTCTCTCTCCCCCTTTTCTTTTTCTTCTCTCTTCCTCTCCTCTCTCCTCTCTCCTCTCTCTCCTCTCTCCCTTTCTCTGTGGGGAGTGTGGAAAAATGGTTATAAGTCTTTCTTTTCTTTCTCTTTGTCTTTCTCTTCCTTTTTCTTTCTTTCCTTCTTTACTATAACTTTGTTGCTTGTATCCTTAAGATTTATATTGATATTGTTTCCTGATTGCTTATCTGTACCCCTATGGCTATCATTAAGTGTTGTACCTTATGATTCTTGATGAACGTATCTTTTCTTTTATGTACACTGAGAGCGAATGCACCGAAGACAAATTCCTTGTGTGTCCAATCACACTTGGCCAATACAAAATTCTATTCTATTCTATTCCTATTCTATTCTATTCTATTCTATTCTATTCTATTCTATTCTATTCTTTCTCTTACTCTTTCTTTCTCTCTCCTTCTCTCTTTCTCTCTCTTCAGAAATATTTAACAGTAACAGAGTTAGAAGGGACCTTGGAGGTCCTCTAGTCCAACCCCCTGCTCACCCAGGAGACCTTGTACTAGGGATTCGAAACCGCCGAACTGCCGGCCTTGCTGATCAACAAGCTCAGTGTCATCGATACTTCAACCCTGGAGGCTTTTAAGAAGGGACTGGACAACCATTTGTCTCTAAAATGCTATAGCATCTTCTGTTGAGCAGGGCATTGGAGTCAGTAGACGACTTCCAAAGTCCGTCCCAACTCAGTTATTCTGTGATTTCCTTGAAAAACATTACACTTCTCATTCAAGAAGCTTCATCCAGAACTGAAGCAGCTTTTTGGATGAGAAGTGAGACATCTTCAAGAAAAGCAAAGAAAGTCCAGTTGCCTTTTGAAAAAAAAAACACCTTTGGGCAGGGGAGAAATCCAGCAGGTTCTGACAGGTTCTGGAGAACCGGTAGCGGAAATTTTGAGTAGTTCGGAGAACAGGCAAATACCACCTCTGGCTGGCCCCAGACTCAGGTGGGAATGGAGATTTTGCAATATCCTTCCCCCAGGAGTGGGGAGGGAATGGGGATTTTGCAGTATCCTTCCCCTGGAGTGGGGAGGGAATGGGGATTTTGCAGTATCCTTCCCCTGCCACGCCCATCAAGCCACGCCCATCAAGCCACACTACGTCCACCAAGCCACGCCCACAGAACCGGTAGTAAACAAATTTGGATTTCACCCCCTGCCTTTGGGACAACTATGATCTGGAGGACTGAGGATCTCCATAGATGTTCAGATACAGTTTGTTGAACCAACCACAGTGGTTGGATGAAGGCAACAGGCTAAACCAGGGGTCTGCAACCTTAAGCACTCAAAGAGCCATTTGGACCCATTTCCCACAGAAAAGAAAACACCGGGAGCCACAAAACCTGGGTGGGAGTGGCCAACTCGATGTCACTCACTTCCACCAGTCACATGAACACACACACACCCCCAGCCATGCCTACCTAGCTGGTCATTAGGGCAGAGAACCAGTTGTTAAAAAACACCGGGAACCACAAAAAGCTTTTGACATATATCTCTCTCCACTCCCTCCCTCCCCCCTCTCTGTATCTCTCTGTGTCTCTCTCTCTCCCCCTCTCTGTCTCTCTCTCTCCCCCTCTCTCTGTATCTGTCTCTCTCTCACCCTCTGTATCTCTCTCTCCCCCCACTTTCTCTCTCTCACCCTCTCTGTATCTATGTCTCTTTCTCTCCCCCCTCTATATCTATGTTCTCTCTCCCCCCCTCTGTATCTGTCTCTCTCTCTCTCACCCTCTGTATCTTCTCTCCCCCCACTCTCTCTCTCCCCCTCTCTGTATCTATGTCTCTTTCTCTCCCCCCTCTCTATATCTATGTCTCTCTCCCCCCCCTCTCTCCCCCTCTGTATCCCTCTCTCCCCCCACTCTCTCCCCTCTCTGTATCTGTCTCTCTCTCCCCCCTCTCTGTATCTGTCTCTCTCTCTCACCCTCTGTATCTCTCTCTCCCCCCACTCTCTCTCTCTCCCCCTCTCTGTATCTATGTCTCTTTCTCTCCCCCCTCTCTATATCTATGTCTCTCTCTCTCCCATCTTCTCTCTGTATCTCTCTCTGTTTCTCGCTCTCCCCCTCTCTCTGTATGTCTCTATCTCTGCCCTGGCTGCTTCTCCATCCCCTGCCGTCGCCCTTACCTTCTCAGGCCAGGGGAGGAGTGACTGGGAAGGGAGGGTGAGGGATGGGGCCAGCCAGTGGTGGGTTCACCTGACAGGGAGCCACAGCAGAGGGCCCAAAGAGCCGCATGAATAATAAGGTCTAGAATCGTACCTTGGTTGCTTCCACAATTAATGTTTAGTTTTATCATTTTATTATGGTTTTCATGTTGCTTTTATTGTTGTTTGGAAGCAACTCAGAGTTGGTTATAAGATGGGCAGTCTGGAGAATATTTGTAAGGTTGGAATGAGGGGTCCTTTCTGCTCTCTAAGCTTGGTGGGGTTTTTTTGGGGTTTTTTTTTGCAGATGTTTCATTGCTCAAAATAGGGAACATCATCACCAAGTCTTAGAAGATATTCCTTATTTTACACGTTTTCTATGATTAGAAGACAAAGTTAGATCTTCACCGTGATTATTAACTGGTTGAAAGGCTATAGGAACTGAATGGAAAGTCAACATTTCATTTTTATGACAATTTTTGGGTTTTGACAATTAAGCGGGTTGCTGCTATAGAAATGGCTGGTAGTTATTATTTGGTATAACTAAAAAGTTGATACTTTAACTTTATTGACATACCTAAATGTACTAAAAAAAATAATGTGGAAGTTGCTGCTTTTTTATATATTTCTTTTCCCGTCTTATTTATTTATTTATTTATTTATTTATTTATTTATTTATTTATTTATTATTTATTTATTTATTTTATTTATTTATTTATTTATTTATTTATTTATTTATTTATTTATTTGAATTTATATACCGCCCTACTCCTGAAGGACTCAGGGCGGTGAACAGCCATAGAATAAAACATATAAATACAAAATTTAAAATAAAATAAAACGAATTAAATAATTTGGCTGAACAAATTTAAAACCCCAATAATTTAAAACCAAATTTAAAATTTCCATTTAAAAGGGGGAAAGACTTAGGTCTTTCCTTCACTTTACCGCCTCTATCCCACTCCCTGCCCTTTTTTCCATTGTCTTTATTTTTATTTGTATTTTATATTAAGGAAAAAAAACTTTTAATAAAAATATATTTTTTTTAAAATATGGCAAGCAACAGAATCTACCGCTGGGAAGATTTTCCTAACATCCAGCCGAAATCAATCTTCTAAACTCAGTTCGATCTAGAATTAGGGTTACAGGTAGCCCTTGACTTATGATCACCCCCCAAAAAATATGTTAATAAGGTGGTTGTTAAATGAGTCATGCCTGACTCTACGACCTTCGTTTCCATGATTGTTAGCAAATCATTGCCGTTGTTAAGTGAATCACACGGTCCTTAAATGAATCTAACTTTCCCCGTTGACTTGGCTTGTCGGAAGCCAGCAGAAAAGGTCACAAATGGGGATTATAGAGCCTTGGTAGTACAGTGGTCTAAAGCACCCTGTTATTAAGAACAGCTGCCTGCAATTACTGCAAGTTCGAATCTCCCCAGGCTCAAGGTTGACTCAGCCTTCCATCCTTTCTAAGGTAGGTAAATTGAGGACCCCGTTTTTGGGAGCAATAAGCTGACTTTGTATAAATATACAAAAGTACGAAGGCTATTGCTTAGCGCATTGTAAGCCGCCCTGAGTCTCCGGAGAAGGGCGGCATATAAATCAAATTTTAAAAAAAAAAATTATATGACCCCAGGATGCTACATGCTGGTTGCCAAGCGCCCAAATTTTGATGATCATGTGACTGTGGAGATGCTGCCACAGTCCTAAGCGCAAAGACCTGTTGTATTGAAAGGATTAGAGCAATGGTGAAATGTAAAATTTGTTACTACCGGTTCTGTGGGTGTGGCTTGGTGGGGGGGGTGTTAATGTGGGTGGGCGTGGCCAACTTTTTTTTTTTTTTTTTTACTTTTAAAAGCATTTTTTCGGCCAAAGAAAAAATGCTTTTAAAAGTAAAAAAAAAAAAAAAAAAGCCTCTGATGATTGCGTGGCTCAGCTGGGCATGGGGGGAGGGAGCAGGGATTTTTGTTACGGGTTCTCCGAGCCACCCGCCGCCATCGCTACCGGATCGGGTGATCCGGTCCGAACCGGGAGCATTTCACCCCTGAATTAGAGCATGTACAGAGTGTAACTAACTCAACTTTTGATATTCCTTGCTGAGCTGAAGCTCCGTTGTAACCTAATGTGCCAACTGAGGAGATAAAGCCTCCAGGCCACATGCCAAGGAGCTTTGCTAAGTAACTTGCTGTAATTCAAAATGTGAATTCTGTCTGCTGTGACAACATAATGTGAGATACTAATTTTAATGAACTCTGGGCTATATGCCAGAAAATGTATTCCTTTTCCCTTTTGAGGTCCATTGTTTCTGAGCGCAGAGAAAATCATGAGCTTGGCATAAAACCCGTGGATAAGAAATTATGTTTCTATAGCACTGACGATCTGTGCAAGCGGTGTAAACTATAAGAAGAAGGAAAAGGGGGGGGGGGTTTGCACGCGCCTGCTTTTCTCTCCTTGCTTTGCTGTTTAAGGTGGGAGATTAAGGTAGCCCAGTTTTGCTTTGATCAAAATAAAACTGATTATCAGTTGCCTCGTGTTCAGAATTTCATTGGGATTTATCAGATTCTGAGCTGCACCAAAACCAGGGGTGAAATCCAGCAGGTTCTGGAGAACTGGTAGCGGAAATTTTGAGTAGTTCAGAGAACCGGCAAATACCACCTCTGGCTGGCCCCAGAGTGGGGTGGGAATGGAGATTTTGCAATATCCTTCCCCTGCAGTGGGGTGGGAATGGAGATTTTGCAGTATCCTTCCCCTGGAGTGGGGTGGGAATGGAGATTTTGCAGTATCCTTCCCCTGCCAAGCCCACCAAGCCACGCCCACAGAACCGGTAGTAAAAAAAATTGGATTTCACCACTGACTAAAACCTAACAGTATCCTCGAGCCGTCACTAAACGAATGGCTAAATGTCGAGGACTACCTGCAGGCCTGTCTTAAAATGCGTTTAGTGTTAACCCAAGCGACTCCTGGACAAACATAAACCTGTTGGAAATGACATGAGGCTTAAATGCAAAATCTCTGCTTTAGACTGGAAAGCATTATTATCTCGACACATTTATTTGAAAGTTATTCTAAATATCCAACATCTCTCTGGGCTGAGCAGTCAATATAGCAATCGCAACCACCTATGAGTAATCCATCTATCTAACTCTAAATAAAAGATGTTATATTTAGCAACTACAATAGAGGGAAAATAGCACCCCCATATCTGTTAAAAGGCGAGTCTTTCTTAAAAGGCAGCTTCAGATGGACAGGAATACTTAAATGTGCCCGTTACGCCATAAAGTGGCGTAATTTGGTATTTAACTCTTTCTCTTTGTTCAGCAATTCGGTGCTGTGTTTTCGGTAAGCTTCGAAATGCATCCGGAGCTCGGAGTAAGCTTCTTCTGCCCCCTCAAGACGGCGCTTTAAATCTCTAACTCGGAGGTTACTATCCACCATTGCAGCTTCAGTCTCAAACTGTAGTTCAGCTGCCTGCTTGGCCTTCTCCATATCCTCCGCCTTCTTCTCCAGCTGAAGGATCTCCCGTTGCTTTTCCTGAAGCACCTTGCCTCTCTCCATCGCCAGCTTCAACAAGTCCTCCTTCTCCTTTGTGAGGACATCTAGCTTGGCTTGCAGGCTGCTCTCGGTTTCTCTCAGCTGCCTCTCTGTTTGTTCCAGTTGGTCAAGGATCGGTTTTTGCTTCTTCTGTAGGACGTCCAGTTGCCTTTTCAAGGAGTCCATCTCCTTGGTGTAGACTCTGGTTTGTTCTCTCTGGCTTTCCAGAAGTTCTTTCTCTCGTTCTTCGGCTGAACGACAGCGCTGTTGATAAGTTTTCTTCAAGGCCTCCATATCAATGGAAAGTTTCTTGAATTCAGAAGAAACCCGGGCCAGTTCTACTTCTTTATCTTTCAAAGGTTGGCTGAAGAGGCTTTCGTTTTCCTGACGCAGGCGGCCATTTTCTTCTCGGAGCTGCTTATTCTGCCGTTTGTGCTCATCTTTGAAGCGGATCATTTCTTCGTGGTTGGCAGCCAAGTCCATAAAGCGCTGCTCCAGGTGCTGGATGCGTCGTGTCTGATTCTCCAACCTCAAAGCATCTCCTGTTCTCGTCTCCTCCAGCTCGGTGTTGATCTGTTCCAGCGTCTTACAGCGCAAGAGTTGATCGTCGGCTCTCTTCTTGAGGATACAGATCAGCTGAGACTGTTCGTTGAGGCGCGAACGCAGCAGGGCCTTCTCGCCCTTCTCGTCATCAGAAAGACCGTGGAGTTTCTCCAACTGGTCGAAGGGATCCCCCATGCTCCATTCTAGCTCTCCTTCCATATCTTTGGATATTTTCGGATTCTTCCCGTCTTGAGGCATATCAGGAGCACAGTTTTCTCTTGCTGTTCCAAACACAAGTTCCCCCAGTGGCTTTCTTCAGGTGAACATTCAAAAATTCTGAACTGCCCTTCAGAAGTTCAATGGATCCAAATGACAGTTGGTGGAAAAATTCCAAGAATTTTGTGACATCACAAGCTTAGAAGGCCCCGGCTGTCCAGAACTGACAGAGTTTTCTCCTATCACTTAATCCTATTTGCCATCCTTGTGCTCAATAGAGAAATGGTGTAACTCTTTGATCTCCTCAGGAACAAAGAGACAGCATGAAACCAATCCATATCTAGTAGATTTTAACTTCAGTCAGTTCTTGATATTGGTCAATTCATAATAAACACCCTAAGAACAGGCAAACATTCATCTTTTTTCAGCTGGTGCTTTGTCAAATCTTCTTGAAGAGAAACGCAAACCATATTTTTCAAGAGATGCTTTTGCGGCCTTCTTAAATCTGTTTTATTTAAAGAGCCGAGAGAAAGCAGAAGATGATCGTACTTCCTTGATTCCTCTTAATTCAAAACCTGCTTTCCTCCATTTCAAGGTGTCCCAGTACTCTGGGTTTTCTATAGAATATAGGTAGTCCTCGACTTACAGCAGTTCATTTAGTGACCATTCAAAGTTACAATGGCACTGAAAAAAAAGAGTTACGATCATTTCAGCATCCCCATGGTTACATGATCAAAATTCAAATGGTTGGCTCATATTTATGATGGGTGCAATGCAGGGGTGAAATCCTACCGGTTCGGACCAGTTCGGGCGAACTGCTAGGGATTATGGGCATCAGTTCACTGAACCGGTAGTAATTACCCCTCCTTGGCCCCACCCACGCCCGGCCAATTGCCGCTCACCTCTTCCGGAAATTCAATGTTAAATGCAGCAGCGAGAATGCTAACTTTTCTCCCTCCATTCAGAATGGAGCTGCTGCAGCCTGTCCCTTTAAGGTAGTCCCCAGAAGGGACGGGGACAGGGAGCAGCTGGAATGGAGCCATTTTTGTGAAAGGCAAGAAATTGGGGATGGGAATTTTCCTGCCTGTCATCCATTCCTCAATCTCAGCACAGACTGAGGGAAGGATGGTAGGCAGGAATATTCCCCTCCCCATTTTCCTGCCATTGGCGACAAGGAGTGGCTGGGAGGGGAGGGGTCGGTGAGGAGCCCCTCGATGTGAGTGATGTCGAGCTGGCCATGCCCATGCAGTCACATGACCTTCCCCACAACAAACCACGCCCACAGAACCAGTAGGGGAAATTTTTTAATTTCACCACTGGTGCAATGTCCCAGGGTGATGTGATCACCTTTGCGACCTTCTGACAAGCAAACTCAATGAGGAAGCCAGATTCACTTAACCATCACGTTACTAATTTAACGATTACAGTGATTCCCTTGACAGCTGTGGCAAGAAAGGTCGTAAAATTCGCTTCACAACTGTCTCAGCAACCAAAATTTTGGATTCAATTACAGTCATAAGTTGAGGACTACCTGTATACAAAACAAGTTCTTAAAGGATTACCAACTTCCATAAATATCTACTCAAAAACACTCATTTATTGGGATTTTTTTCTCTACTTTATGCGTGCTGAGTAACTCTGGAAATAGGGAAATTATTGTCGCTTTCTTTCTGCATCTAGCTTGGAGTTTTTGGTTCAAACTCTAATCAAATCTGATTCTGTGTAGTTTTCAAGCTATACAGATGCCACCGGTTGAAGCTCTACTCAGGAAGAGGATTAAGGACTAAAGGGGGGAAACCCCTTCAAGGAAGCAATGTATTGTGTAGTTTGGATTTTTTAAAAAATAAGGGGAAGGTAAGCTCCAGATAAAGATAGGGACGTGTTGGCTCAGTGGCTAAGACGTTGAGCTTGTCGATCAAAAGGTCGGCAGTTCAGCGGTTCGAACCCCTAGTGCCGCGTAACGGGGTGAGCTCCCGTTACTTGTCCCAGCTTCTGCCAACCTAGCAGTTCGAAAGCACGTAAAAAATGCAAGTAGAAAAATAGGGACCACCTTTGGTGGGAAGGTAACAGCGTTCCGTGCGCCTTTGGCGTTTACTCATGCTGGCCACATGACCATGGAGACATCTTCGGACAGCGCTGGCTCTTTGGCTTTGAAACGGAGATGAGCACCGCCCTCTAGAGTCGGGAACGACTAGCACATATGTGCGAGGGGAACCTTTACCTTTACTAAGCTCCAAATAAATTTCCCCATGCAGCTTTCTTGCCTTCTCTCCTAGCAAATATTTAACATTTTTTTTCTAATCAAATCTAATGTGTACTAGACTTCCTTATTCAACCATCAGATCCCATTCAATCAATATACAGTAAATTATAATGGAGGAGGGAACTACAGTAAGTCTATCCTTTTTCATGCTTGTTCTTTCACCCTAGCTTAGTTAAAATGGTATTTCTAGGTAAAATAGTGTAGTTGTTAAAAACCAAAAATAGGGTCAGGATAAATACTACAGCGCTCTTTATAATATATATATATATATATAATTATAATATATAATATATATATATAATATATAATAGAGAATTACGTTAGGAAACACTCCATCATGTTAACTAGATCACCCATTTACAATGAAATAAGGCATCTGGTTCAGTTACAGAGTAGAATAGAATAGAATAACAGAGTTGGAAGGGACCTTTGAGGTCTTCTAGTCCAACCCCCTGCTTAGGCAGGAAACCCTACACTACTTGTTATCCAACATCACCTTAAAAACTTCCAGTGTTGGAGCATTCACAACTTCTGGAGGCAAGTTGTTCCACTGATTAATTGTTGTCACCGACAGGAAATTTCTCCTTAGTTCTAAGTTGCTTCTCTCTTTGAGTAGATGGAGCTTACGAAAGGAAGCACAGGGGAAAAAAAACACACAAAGTCCTTCACACTCACAAAGAATATAGAACATAATAGGACTGGAAGGGACCTTGGAGGTCTTCTACTCCAACCACCCTACCCATGGCAGGAGATCCTATACCATTCCAGACAAGTGACTCTGTCCAGTCTCTTCTTAAAAACTTCCAGCAATGGAAACGCCCACAATTTCTGGAGGCAAGCTGTTCCTCTGATGAATTGTCGTCACCGACAGGAAATTTCTCCTTAATTTGAAATTTCAAAATTAAATTTGAAGAATGCTGAATACTCTCATGATTAAACAATAAGATCTGGACATGAGACTAATAAACAATGCAAACTCATCCTATTTTTGTACGTGTCTCCATTTTTATCATCGTAGTTTGAGCTACAGGTCCTGGATTTGGTCATTCGTATACATTTCCCTTTCGTTTAAAAAATCATTAGAAAGAAAGATTATCTTAGATCAGAAAACTCTCTCCTTACCATGTTTTTAGTTCTCTGACTCTCTTAGACGTGACACTCCTCTCGAGTTTGCATCTCCCTGGAAACTGAGACTGCAACAGAAATTGAGCTGTTCCTTTTAGAGCCTGCAACTTTATCTTGCTTTCAAAAGAAAACCTCCAAAGTGGTGGGGAGGAAAGTTTTGGCTGACCCTACATTCAACAGGCATTTCTTTCTTGAACATGTTTTATCTCTACAGCACCAGATGGTAACTCTTGAAGACTACTGCTGACCTGACAATTAATTAAGAAAAGTAATAAAGGTGAAACACTGAAAAATAAGAACGGTTGCAGGAACTGGGTATGTCTAGTTTAATGAAAAGAAGGACTGGGGGAGACATGATAGCAGCCTTCCAATATCTCAGGGGCTGCCCCAAAGAAGAGGGAGTCAAGCTATTCTCCAAAGCCCCTGAGGTCAGGACAAGAAGCAATGGGAGAGAAGGAGAGAAGCAATCAAGGAGAGAAGCAATCAAGAACTAAGAATAAATTTCCTTACAAGTGAGAACAATTAATCAGTAAAACAACTTGCCTCCAGAAGTTGTGAATGCTCCAACACTGGAAGTTTTTAAGAAGATGTTGGATAACCATTTGTCTGAAGTGGTGTAGGGTTTCCTGCCTAAGCAGGGGGTTGGACTAGAAGACCTCCAAGATCCCTTCCAACTCTGTTATTCTGTTCTGTTCTGTTCTGTTCTGTTGTTCTGTTCTGTTCTATTCTATTCTATTCTATTCTATTCTATTCTATTCTATTCTATTCTATTCTATTCTATTCTATTCTAATTCTAATTCTAATTCTAATTCTAATTCTGTTCTATAGCTGTCAAAAAAAAAAAGATAACCTTTTTGGTAACTGTGGATGCAGATGCCTTACAATTTAAATCTGCGCCCCTGTCCATATCTACTTAAAAGCCAACCCTGCTATGATCTATGGGACTTATTGATGATCAAATATCAAGAGTGCAATCTATAAGGCCTTGCACAGGATTGAATTCCACTGTGGAATATCCCCCAAGGGAATAAATTGCAAATTTGCAAGATCTTCTGATAAACTTGACGCTGCAACCAGTTCAGAGTAACAGAGTTGGAAGGGGCCTTGGAGATCTTCCAGTCCAACCCCCTGCTCGAGCAGGAAACTTTATATCATTTGAAACAAATGGTTGTCCGATCTGTTCTTAAAAACTTCCTGTGTTGGAGCATTCACAACTTCTGGAAGCAATACATTCTACCGATTAGTTGCTTCTACCTGTCAGGAAATTTCTCCTTAGTTCTAGGTTGCTTCTCTGCTTGATTGGTTTCCATCCAATACTTCTCCCGCCTTTAGATGCTTTGGAGAATAGGTTGACTCCTTCGCCAACTTATAAATCTTCGCCAATAATAAATAGGAGCCTGGATAACTCTGCAGACTAAAGCACTGTAATTTAACACCAGCTGTCTGCAATTAAAAGTAAGTTCGAATCTTGCCAGGCTCAAGGTTGACTCAGCCTTCCATCCTTTCTAAGGTAGATAAATTGAGGACCCAGTTTATGGGGGCAATAAGCTGACTTTGTATAAAATATACAAAAGTATGAAGGCTATTGCTTAACGCACTGTAAGCCGCCCTGAGTCTCCGGAGAAGGGCAGCATATAAATCAAATTTAATTTTTTTTAAAAAAAAATAATAATCATTTATCTTATTGAGTGAAGTCCTTTCATTCCTTTTTCATGATCTATTTAAATGACCACACAAGACAACTGCACATAATTTAAATACTTTTCATGTTTTAATACAGTGTTTATTAAAGATTAAGAGAGTTTAATTTAAAACTTGGTACCAGGTGATAAGTAGACACACGTTTTGTGGTGGTAGCATCCAGCAAAAGCAAGGTCAAGTTATATACAGCATAAAGATGCCCACTGTTGAAATTTACACCTGATGAAAGAATTGATCCCCCAGATATTCATCTCTGTGTCTTTCTGATTCTTCTCTCCATCAAACTCCAGCAAATCATATGAACAGGAAGCAATTTATAACGGTGTCATTTTTATTTTGTCATTTTTGCCACCATCAGCATCCGGAGTGGCAGTGTGTCTTCTACCCAAGTGTTGGGAGAGTTGATCATTCTTTCCCATAAGGTGGCTTCGTCTAATGTAGAGTCCATCCAATCCACTGGAATGCCGTAGCTTTTGCCTAATAAAAGTGTTTAAATAAATGAGATTAGCAGCAAATACTGATTGAGTTATCTACGCGGTAATACAGGTTGTCTTCAGCTTACAACCATTTGTTTAGTGACGTTTGAAGTTACAACGGCACCGAAAAAAGTGACTTATAACCATTTTTTCCACACTCCCACAGAGAAAGGGAGAGAGGGGGAGAGAGGGAGGGAGGGAGAGAGAGAAGAAAAAGAGAGAGAGAAGAAAAAGAGAGAGGGGGGAAGGGGAGAGAGAGAGAGAAGAAAAAGAAAAGGGGGAGAGAAGAAAAAAGAGATAAAGAAAAGGAAAGGAAAAAAAGATACAGAGATACAGAGAAGAAGGAAGGAAGGAAAGAAAGGTACAGAGAGAGCAAGAGGAAGGACAGAAGGAAGGAAGGAAAGAGAAAGAAAGAAAGAAAAAGAAAAAAGGAAAGAAAAAGAAAGAAAAAGGAAGAAAGAAAGAAAGAAAGAAAGAAAGGAAGGAAGAGGAGAAAGTGATAGAAATTTGTACCTGTTCCAAGTCCTACTCTAAGTCCTCCTACAAAATGGTTGGCAAGTTTATTATGATCCCAAACAGTAAGTTCCACGCATGCTTCTTTCAAGTCTTCAGGTTTGAAGCCATCATAAACCATGGTGTGGTTAAAAACTGGATTTGTCGTCTTCGCAACAGCTCTCGTTTTCTGACGGCTCTTTCTACTTGTATCCGGAAGAACGGTACTTTGGACAACAAAGACAAAAGTGGTATCTATTTATCTACTCGCATTTGCATACTTTCAAACTGCTAGGTGGGCAGGAGCTAAGGAAAGCAACGGGAGCTCACCCCGTCGCGAAGCGCCTGGGTCTCAAACCGTGGCTGTCAGCTGACAAGCTCAGCATCTTTAACCGCTGAGCTATCATGCTCAGTGATGTACTTACCACTTCACAAAAGAATTGAGTTTTGGACCTCTGAGTACAGGCAGGTCATTGCATTGTTTCACCCAAATGTGAACTTCACCGGTAGCTGGAGTCTTTTTGCCTTTAAAACAGAAACATATATAACAGATGATTAACAGAGGGCTTCAAATAATAGTTTTACTTTTTTTTTTCTTTTAATTTGATTTATATGCCGCCCTTCTCCGGAGACTCAGGGCGGCTTACAATGTGCTCAGCAATAGCCTTCATCCTTTTGTATATTTATACAAAGTCAGCTTATTGCCCCCACAACTGGGTCCTCATTTTACCTACCTTAGAAAGGATGGAAGGCTGAGTCAACCTTGAGCCTTGGTGAGATTCGAACCTGCAGTAATTGCAGGCAGCTGGTCTTAATAACCAGCTTAATAACAGGGTGCCTTACACCACTGTACTACCAAGGCTCTTTTGGGTTACCTGTTGACTGCTTTTTTATATTTTTTTATATTTTTGTATTTTTTGTATTTTATTAGTTTGTCAAACATGTAAAAGATAGCAGGTATAAATATAAACAAAGGATATGAACAAAGGAAATGAATACAAATAAATGGGGACGGTAGGACAGGGACGGTAGGCACGCTGGTGCGCTTATGCACGCCCCCTTTATGGACCTCTTAGGAATGGGGTGAGGTCCGCGGTAGACAGTTTGAGGTTGAAGCTGTGGGGGTTTGAGGATGTAACAACGGAGTCAGGTAGAGCATTCCAGGCATTGACCACTCTGTTGCTGAATGTCGTATTTTCTGCAATCGAGTTTGGAGTGGTTTATTTGAAGTTTGTATCTGTTGTGTGCTTGTATATTGCTGTGGCTGAAGCTGAAGTAGTCATTGACAGGGAGGATGTTGTAGCAGATAATTTTATGAGCTACACTTAGGTCATACCGGAGGCAGCCTAGTTCTAAATTGTCTAAGCCCAAAATTTCAAGTCTGGTGGTATAAGATATTTTGTTGTGAGCAGAGGAGCGGAGGACTCTTCTCATAAAATATCTTTGGACACACTCAATTGTATTAATGTCCAGTATGCAGTGTGGGTTTCAGACAGATGAGCTGTATTCGAGAATTGGTCCAGCAAATGTTTTGTATGCTCTGGTTAGTAGTGTAATATTACCGGAGAAGAAGATTAGGTTTACAACTCTTAATGCCTTTTTGGCGATGTTACAGTGGGCTTTGGTACTTAGGTCATTAGATAGGAGTATTCCAAGGTCCTTGACAGAGTGAGGATCGTCTACACCAGTGGTCCCCAACCCCCGGTCCGCGGACCGGTGCCGGGCCGTGGAGTACCTGGCACCGGGCTGCGCAGCGGCCGGGGGACATGAACGCTGCAGCGCACGGCCCAGGAGCCTTTGCACTGCAGCGTTCATGTCCCCCGGCCGCTTTTGCACACTGGGCCGTGCGCAAAAGCTCCTGGGCCGTGCCCCCACCCCTGCGCGTGCTCGGCGATAAAAGGCGATAAAAAGGTTGGGGACCACTGGTCTACACGGTCGTGTCCACTCAGCTTGTATTTTGTGTTCTGATTCTTTTTGCCAATGTGTAAGACAGAGCATTTGTTGGTTGAGATTTGAAGCTGCCACTTGTTTGACCATTCTGACACAAAGTCTAGGTCTTTTTGAAGGGTAGCAGCATTGTCAGATTGTCCAAGCCCAGAATTTCAAGTCTGGTGGCATAAAGGATTCTATTGTGAGTAGAGGAGTGAGTACTCTTCTCGTAAAATACCTCTGGACCCGCTCAATCGTGTTAATGTCTGATTTACAGTGTGGATTCCAGGCAGATGAGCTGTATTCCAGAATTGGTCTGGCAAAGGTTTTGTATGCCCTAGTTAGCAGTACAATGTTACCGGAGAAGAAGCTTCGCAAGATTAGGTTAACAATTCTTAATGCCTTTTTGGCAATGCTGGTACAGGGAACTCTGGGGCTTAGATTGTTTGAGATGAGTACTCTTAGGTACTTAACAAAGTAAGGGTTGTCTACGAGATCGTTTCCGCCCAACTTGGTGTTCTGATTTTATTTATTTTTTTATTTTGCAGGAGAGAGCATTTATTAGTTGAGATTTGGAGTTGCCAAATGCACGACTATTCTGACACATGTTCAATGTCGCTTTGTAGGGCAACAGCATTGTCAGTGGTGTTAAATAATTTTATGTCATCAGAGAAGAGGACACAGCTGTATGTTTATATGTAGCATATCTAGCTGTATATGTAGCAGAATAGAATAACAGAGTTGGAAGGAATCTTGGAGGTCTTCTAGTCAAGCCCCCTGCTCAGGCAGGAAACCCTATACCCGTGATGGCGAACTTATGGCATGCGTGCCACAGGTAGCACACAGAGTCATATCTGTGGGCACGCAAGTGTTGCCCTAGCTCAGCTCCAGCGCATATGCGCGAACCGGCCAGTTGAATTTTGGGCCTTCCGGGCCCACTGGAAGTCGGGAAATGAGCCGTTTCCGGCCTCCGGAAGGCCTCCAGGGGGAGGGGGAGGGAGGCCGTTTTCGCCCTCCCCAGGCTCCAAAAAAGCCTCTGGAGCCTGGGGAGGGCAAAAAAAGGGTCTACCAGGCCCACCGGTAACCTTTTTGCCATCATGTGCCAAAAGAGGGGGAGTGTGGGGGGTTGCGCGTGCATGCATGGGGGAGGGGGCGTGGCAGGGCGGGGCATGGGAGGGTCATTGAATTATGGGTGTGGGCACGCACACGACCCCCCTGTGCTCCCCCTGCTTTTGGCACACGACAGCAAAAAGGTTAGCCATCACTGCCCTATACTATTTCAAGACAAATGATTGTCCAATCTCTTCTTTAAAATTTCCAGTGTTGGAGCACCCACAAGTTCTGGAGGCAATTTGTTCCATTGATTTATTGTTCTGTCAGGAATAGTGAACAGATGGTGGGTTGATTTAACTGATAGATAAATAGATTTCCACATCAGGGACCTCTAGTATTTTTATTAACTATAGATGGGAAAGTTTATAATTACTTGTAGACCTGTTGAGTAAAGCAAAGAGAACGTACCAGATACTTTCAATATATTTTTCAGCATCAGCCAGGATGGACATTATATGTTTAATGTCATTGTTAATGATTTATTCGCTATTTAGTGTGTTCTTTTGTAACATGCTTTTTTATTGTTAGTTGTAGTTAATTATTTATTATTATTATTATTATTATTATTATTATTATTATTATTATTGTTATTATTATTATTATTATTATTATTATTATTATTATTTTATTTCTATACCGCCCTTCTCCCAAAGGACTCAGGGCGGTGTACAGCCTATTAAAAGCACAAGACAAACATCAATTAAAATTATTTAAAATTATTAAATAATTCTGCTCAATTTAAAACCCCAGAAATTTAAAACACCCAATTTAAAATTATTATGTTGATAGCCTGGCCTGGCAGAACAACAGGGTCTTGAGTACACAGCGAAATACCCGGAGGTCGGAGATCTTACGCAAATTGTAGTTTTATTGTTGAAGATGCACACACAGGCACACACACAAAACTGGAATACTTACCTCCAACAGGCTGTGGGATATACTGGAGAGCTATCTTTATCTCCCCTCTGTTTTCAAGCTCTAATCCTTTTAAGGGAGTCTTCACCATTTGGAAAAAGGAATGACAAAAATAAAGCAAAACCAGTCAATGCTTATGAACAGCCTAACACACAATGCTATCTATCTGTACTTTTGTAACTCGACGTATCTTTTTGTCAAACAGAATCTGCAAAGGATGTGCAAACAATCTCTGGAAATTTGAAAGGGCCGCTAAAGCCCTCACAATCAACTTACATAATGTCACCGGCTGTTTTGTTTTCCCCAAAACAAAAATTCTCCACCATAAAAGCCAATATACTCTATTTGTTTAAGTTCTCACGGCCATAAGCTTTTACAAAGGCCAACGGTCACAGAGGTTTTGTACTTCAGGACATAAAATGTGATTTAGGTGACCTTTTTTTTATATTCCTTGTAATATCTGGGAAGATTCCAAAGGTGCTTTTTTTTTTTTGAAGAGGCAACTGGACTTTCTGGTTTTTCTTTGAAGATGTATCGCTTCTCATCCGAGAAGCTTCTTCAGCTCTGACTGGATGGCGGGGAATGGAAGGATTTATACTCCTTGCAAGCAGCTGGTCATTTGCATCCTTTTACAGTCATTTTTTTTTTAATTTTTAATTTTTTTTAATTTGATTTATATGCCGCCCTTCTCCAGAGACTCAGGGCGGCTTACAATGCGTTAAGCAATAGCCTTCATACTTTTGTATATTTTATACAAAGTCAGCTTATTGCCCCCACAAACTGGGTCCTCAATTTACCTACCTTAGAAAGGATGGAAGGCTGAGTCAACCTTGAGCCTGGGGAGATTTGAACTTACAGTAATTGCAGACAGCTGGTGTTAATAACAGGGTGCATTAAACCACTGTACTACCAAGGCTCCTTCTCCATTGAAGAACTTGGAGTTTTATCTGTCCTCAGGGCCACCTGAGTGGTGCAGATGGGTGTGGAGCGTTGTTGGAACTGTTGAAAGGACTGTGCTGTAGACTGGAGATAGATGATGTCGTGTCCCTCCCCCTCTGTTGACCAGCTGTCTGCAAGGAGTATGAATCCTTCCATTTACCACACCCCCCATCCAGTCAGAGCTGAAGAAGCTTCTTGGATGAGAAGTGAAATGTCTTCAAAGAAAAACAAGAAAGTCCAGTTGCCTCTTGAAAAAGCATCTTTGGGACAACCATGACCTGGATGACCGAGAATCTTCATAGACATTTGGGAAGTTTGTGCTATGCCTGGGGGTGTATGGGCAAAGAACATTTAGCTCACATGTAGGAACTTACCCTTGGTTTCAATGGGTACCAGATCATTTGTTTGCTCTGACTTTCATTCCAGTCCCAATTTGCCAAGTCTAGCTCCACTTCACCCAAGAAGCTATTGCGGCCAAAAGTATCGTGATGCCAAACTGAGATATTCAACCGTTGACTCTCCAAAACGGCTTTGTCTATTTTATACTGCAGAGAAACAAACAGACATGAAACATAGTTAGGATGACGTCTCCTTTGTTCTGTCCCCGTCCTACACGCACACACACCAACAGACGTTCAAGAGTTAAAGACTAAACCAGCCGGCAAAATCCTTTTCTTTATGATAATGGAACTTGACAATAACCTAGTGGCTGCCTGCCAAGAGTTTATTACTTACGAAGAGGAGAGATAACTTCTCCCTGCTTCTGGTACATCAAAAGAAACAGCTCAATAATTACAGAGTCAATCAAGTCCAGAGATAATCCAGCAAAGTCTATAGCAAAAGTCCGGCAATGTAGAATGACGTGGAAGCTTTCAGCTTTGTTCGTCACAAGGTTTGACTGGCCACCACGCTCCCTTTTATACCTGTGGGGTGTGGTCCAGTGACTCAGCCTAATCTCGGGCACGCCTTTTCTTCTGTTGCACGCGCTTATCTCTGTGACGCTGGCGTGGATCCAGCCAAGACTCATTACCCTCACCACTGTCCACCTGTGGCTGCGTGGACGTGCTTGGCCCCGGCCCTATCTCTTGCCCTTTGGCGGACACTGAAGGCATTGCCAGAGAGGAGGGTCCTGGAGAGGGAGGCCTTGCCAACTCCTCTCCTTCACTCTTGGAGTCCTCTGCTGCCGATGACACAGGCTCAGGTAACGGAGCCACAACATCCTTTCCACTGAGCCTGTGATCTGTAGACACGTCCCAGCAATTTTTCGTGGTGACATTAGCATCCTACCATCAACAATCGCAGGTCAGATGCTTTAGGGTAGCTCATGAGCAAAATAGGGCAGGGTTAGAAATTATAGTTTTGGTCACAATACAAAAAAGATGTTGACAGTCCAGAAAGAATACAGAGAAGAACTGCAAAAGTGATTATTCGACTGGAGGCTAAAACATATGATGAACCATTGCAGGAACTGGGTATGTCTAGTCCCGTGATGGCGAACCTATGGCACGCGTGCTCAAAGTGGTATGCCAGCAGTCGCCCCAGCCCAGCTCCACTGTGCATGCACACGTGCCTCCCGCCGGCCAGCTGGTCTTTGGGTCTCTGCCGTGTGGGGGCGGGGCACATGTGGTGGACGAGCACATGTGTGGGGGAGGCAGGGCACATGCGTAAGGGGTGCTCACATTGCATTTTGGGGGTTCGTGTGCACTCCCCGTGCCCTGTTTTGGGCCTGGAAGGTCTTCTGCACCAACCTAGAAGCCAAAATGGGGCGCGGGGTCCCCCAGGGTGCATGCGTGGGGGGGCCCAGAGCACATGCACAGGGGGGTGCATGCACGAAGGGCGCATGAGCGGGGATCTGCACATGCATAGGGATGTGTGCACATGCGTGGAGCAGGGCGCTTGCACAGGGGCGCTCATATTGCATTTTGAGGGTCCGGGCACACAGCATGTATTCATGCACAGACTTTTGGCACTCAGCACCAAAAAGGTTAACCATCACTGGTCTAGTCTAATGAAAAGAAGGACCTGGGGTGACATGATAGCAATCTTCCAATTTTTGGAAGATTAGACAGAAGAGTGGCCAACCTATTCTCCAAAGCGCTCGACGGCAGGACAAAAAGTAATGGATGGAAACTAATCAAGGAGAGAAGCAACCTGGAAATAAGGAGAAATTTCATGACAGTGAGAACAATTAATCGGTGGAACAGCTTGCCTCCAGAAGTTGTGAGTGCTCCCTCATTGGAGGCTTTTAAGAAGAGATTGGATAGCCATTCATAGAGCATAGGGTTGGACTAGACGACCTCCAAGGTCCCTTCCAACTCTGTAATTTTGCTTCTGTTGTTCCTAACTTTATTATTTTGGAATATGTGACTTTTCTTTTAGTTATTGTATTTGGATATTCCTGGCAGACTTACTCATCATCTTCAAATCAGCTTCATTCAATGATTCCAATAATTCTAACCCATGAATAATATTATAGCCCTTTATCATTTCAAGATCTGAGTGTGCTCTCCATGAATAAAATTGCCAAAATCTGAAGATACTACTAAATCTTGCAAGAGTTTTTATTTTAAATATTCCCAAGATCTCATGTGACCCAAATTTCATGATATTGCACACGATATTTCTTCAATTTTTCTGATGAAAGCTGCTGAAAGGTCACAAGGTTTCAGCTGTTTCTACCACCGGATTCATCGTATTTTTACTTTTATTGTTGATCCAGGATTCTGTCAGCTTTGATTTATTGTATTTGCTACTCTGTTGCTGCGTTATGATTTTAATTAGGCACCTCCATTAGTCCTTGGGAAATGCGGCAGAGTAAAAACTAAGGAAATAAAAATAAAGCCTTTCAATTAAAACACAAGACAGTTTGCAGATACGGTATTTATGGTTGTTTGGGCATTTATGTTATTGACTGGTTAGGGGCCATTTCCATTAGCATTGCTTCTGATAAACTCCATGGATTTTCTACATGACAAGCCTGCTACTGACTCTTACAATAGGTAGTCCTCAACTTACAACTATAACTGAGCCCAAAACTTCCGCTGCTAAGCGAGACAGTTGTGTGAATTTTGCCTCCATTTTACCTTTCCTGCCACAATCGCTGCAGCGGTTAAGTTAACAGCACGGTTGTAAAATGAATCTGGCTTCCCTCTTGACTTTGCTTGTCAGACGGCCACAAATGGTCATCATATGATCCTTGGAGTTTTCTCAGCTTGGTTTTCTTGCAGACGTTTCATTACCCAACTAGGTAACATCATCAGTGCTAGTAGGGAGTGGGGTTTGCTCCCTACCATTCTAGTGCTTGGTGTTTTTTGAGCTTGGTTTTCTTGCAGACGTTTCATTACCGAAATAGGTAACATCATCAGTGCTAGTAGGGAGTGAGGTTTGCTCTCAAGTGTCAGCACTTCAAGCTGCATTTACTCTAGTGCTGACATAAGAAGGAGAAGTAGAGGCATCTGGAAAGGGACATTTGGCTTTTCACCTACTTATTTTCCCTGGAGATAATATCCCCTAGGAGATGGGAGGGGAGGGGGGAAATTCCTTTGAGCTGGAGCACTAGATTAGGGGTAGAATGACTTGGAAGATGGCCAATGAGTGCAGGGGAATGGGGAACGGAAAGGGAGGGTTTTGGGTCTGGAAGTCAGTGTTGGCTTCGATGGAGTCTGATTTAGAATGTCGTGCTTAATAAATAGGAGTTTTCCTTCAAAGACTTTGTTTGAAATGCAATTTATTTGAGACGACCTCGAAACCTGACACTCAGTTTATATTCTAGTGCAGTGATGGTTAACCTTTTTGGTGCCGAGTGCCCAAAGCACGCAAGCACGTGTGCGAATGCACGCACAAATGCACGCACACGTGCCCGGACCCCCAAAATGCAATGTGAGTGCCCCCCGTGCATGCGTCCACCCCACACATACATGTGCATCCCCGCGCATGCGCTCCACCCCCCTGTGCATGCAGCCCCAGCCCCCTGTGCATGCGCCCCGGCCCCCGCGCCCTGTTTTGGCTTCCAGGTTGGTGCCGGTGGCCTTCCAGGCTGAAAATGGGGTGTGGGAGGGTGTGCGTGAACCTCCAAAATGTAATGCGAGCACCCCCGTGCATGCACACATGCATCCCCTACATGCACCCCGCCCAGTGGTGAAATCCAATTTTTTTTACTATTGGTTCTGTGGGTGTGGCTTGGTGGGCATGGTGTGGCTTGGTGGGCGTGGCAGGGGAAGGATACTGCAAAATCTCCCATTCCCACCCCACTCTGGGACCAGCCAGAGGTGGTATTTGCCGGTTCTCCGAACTGTTCAAAATTTCCGCTACCGGTTCTCCAGAACCTATCAGAACCTGCTGGATTTCACCCCTGGCCCTGCCCTGCGCATGCACTGCAGAGACCTGAAGACCAGCTGGTACGCATGTGCGGTGGAACCAGGCTGGGGCGACGGCTGGCGTTCCAGGTGACATGGCTTCGCGTGCCACTTTGGGCACGCATGCCATAAGGTCGCCATCACGGTTCTAGTGGCTTGTCTTGTCAGTGTGGGTAGAGATGGTCTTACAGGTTCTTTGGTTGGGCTGTTTATTGTTGGCTTGCTTTGGTAGTTCTTTGATTGGGGTATTGTTTATTTTTCGATGGTTGGTCTGATTTAAATCTTGGAGTTAATTTATGCCCATCTGGGTATGAACCCCTTATCAGAAAGAAAGAGAAAGATGAAAGTTACCCGTAATATCTCATTGTAGACGGGATTCAGTGTCTTCTTCTTCACAGATGTCTTTCTTTTGCCCAGTTTATGTTTCTCTGGTAGCAGGTAACTCTTCACATACCTAAAAAGGTTTCATGGCCAAATATGAGAAGACAAGAGTCAGAATACAATTTCCAGTGAAGCTCAGGACCAACCTAAAAACCTTCAGTTAAATTATGTTTAAGTTTCTCTTTAAATGAAAAAAAAAACACATATCTATGATTTTGTTACAAGCTTCTTCCAAAAAATTAAAATACGAACTATGTTACTAATATTTTTTTTCCTCTACAAATTTCTTTCAGCCCTATTTGGGTTTGCACATTGACTGAATTTTAGGAGCTGATGGCAGAAAAAAACCCTAATGGTCCGTTGAGTCTGCCCTTTGAGTTTTTTGTTTCTATTTTCTTTTTAATTAATTAATTAATTAATTAATTTTTATTATTTTTTATTTATTTTATTAGCAGGAGAGTCTGAATTCTAGTCCCACCTTAGGCATGAAAGCAGGCTGGGTGACTTTGAGCCAATCACCAGGAAACTGTGAGTTCTAGTCCCGCCTTAGGCATGAAAGGTGGCTAGGTAACTTTCGGCCAATCACCAGGAGATGGTACGTTCTAGTCCCGCCTTAGGCATGAAAGCCGACTGGGTGACTTTGAGCCAATCACCAGGAAACTGTGAGTTCTAGTCCTGCCTTAGCCATGAAAGCCAGCTGGGTGACTCTAGGGCAGTTAACTTTCTCTTAGCCTAACCCACCTCACAGGGCCGTTGTGGAGAAAACAGGAGGAGGAAGGTGCACTAGATATGTTCGCCAACTTGAGTTATTCATAAAAGTAATCAAGATGAGATATGAACAAACAAACAAACAAATAATTGAAGTAATAACAGCACAGTTCTTTTTCTTTTTTCTAAAGAAATGACTGTTTCAGGCTCTCTGCACTTACGGATCTGAACGTTGTCTTTTCACATCGGCAACTGCCAAATCCTTGCCCTGGGCAATAAAAATATGGAACTCCTTCAACTGTTCCACATAGTCAATGGCAAACTGGAGATTCCCTTTCACGTCCACGTTGCCAAAATCTCCACTGTACACGCTCATCACACTGGTGCTCACCTGCAGATGTCCGAAAGGAAGAGAATAAATGCTTTTTAAAAGGGTAAGTTCCTAGATCAGTTCTCAGCACAGGAAAGACACTGAAGCGCAGAAGAAAAATCTGCCTCTGGACGCGATAGAAAAATTAAGGAAGAACAGCTGAGAAACCTTTTACAGATATTATTCAAAGGGAGATATAATCCACACATCCAAATAATGCATGCTCTTTTTTTTAGTAAGCAGAAATCATTAAGAGGACTCATGCAAAGAATAACTTTATACAGCGGATCCAGCAGAAAATATTTCACCTGCACCTCTCTTCAAATTCTACTACACTGGTACCTTGATACTCAACTGCTTTGGAACTCATCAAGGTTGGTACTCAATGCATTTTGATGCAAAAATTTTGTCGTCGTTTGTTTGGTATTCAATGCACAAGCTAAAATTTGTCAGTGTTGGGTGCCTTGTGACCAGGGGTGGGATTCAAAAATTTTAGCAACCGGTTCTCTGCCCAGTTGCTGGGTGGGTGTGGCCCTGAGGAGCGTGGCCTACTCAGCCTCCTGCACCACGGCAGGGGGGCACTTTTGCCCTCCCCAAGCTCCAGAGGCTTTTCTCAAGCCTCCAGGAGGCCAAAAATGGCCTCTCCCAGGCTCTGGAGGCCCTCCAGAGGCTGGAAACAAGCCCGTTTCCAGACTTCCAGAACTTCTGGGAGGCCCATTTTTCACCCTCCCAGAGCCTCCACGCAGGCGGTATGCTTACCTGGCATCCAAAACGGGCCGCGTGGAAACTCCTGGGAGGGGTGGAGTAGGCGGGGCCAGCCAGTCTTTGCAACTACCGGTTCGGCGAACCAGATGTAAAATTAGCATCCGGTTTGCGCGAACTGGTCTGAACCAGCTGAATCCCACCCCTGCTTGCTACTCACTGCATTATTCCTCATGGGAAAATTTTGTTTGGTACTCCTTTTTGGTATCCCAGAACCAATTAACAATGAGTATCGAAAAACCTCTTAACTGGTTTTGCTTTTGACTTTCCCTTCTGTGCTCATTATTTGGAGGTTTGTGCCCAGAACTATTATATAATTATCCACTGGTGACATTTAGCATTTTGTCTTAGCATTTATTTGACAATCTTCAACTCTCTTGTTCTCCAAACAATGCAGTGACCAAGGCAATATAAGACCCTTTTTATAGATATTTAAGGTCAGTTCAATCTCTCCTGAAAATTCAAGGTTGATTTAAAATTCTGCCTTCAAAATGCAAGTGCATTATTTTATTACCATGCCTCTGGGTGATCTTCATCAAGATTTACTAAAGAAAGGATTCTAGATCAATACAGAATTCAAAAAATTCAACACGTCTTCATGGCTCAACACTACCAGAGACATTAATATTAATTTATAAATTCAGACATTTTGAACATGGATTTCCATTTTGGTTTTCTAGCCGGTCATGGCAAACCAGAATGAATTCCCCTGTGGCTTTGGCCATCATCTTCAATAAACCATACAAGAACTGAAATTAGTTATGGTTCGTTTCACAGATCCTAAGAACAAGCACTCTGAAGGTCCTAATGAAAGGACTTTCCAAAAGTCCAAAATTGAAAAAAATAACTCAGATGAGAAAAGATTTTGAAAAGGAAAAAAGAAAAAATTGATACTGTCTAACCAAGCTCAGGTTCTGGACATAAAACCTTGGACATCATGCTACAATTTTCTTCGCAACATTACAGAAGTATCTTCTGCTGCTTCCGCGATAACGTTTGAACTTCCACCCTGGGATTCTGTGTTGTCCACCACCATCCTTAATTTTCCAACTCAAACAAAGTTGGCCAAAGTTTCAAACCCAAAGATGTAACAAAGTAGTCCTCGACTTACAGCCAATCAATTGAGCCCCGAATTTTTGTTGCTAAACAAGACATTTATTAAATGAATTTTGCCCCATTTTAAGATCATGCTTGCCATAGTCGTTAAGCGAATCGCTGCAGTTGCTAAATTAGTAGCACAGTTGTTAAGTAAATCTAGCTTTCTCATTCACTTTGCTTGTCAGAAGGTCACTAAAGGTGACCACATGACACTAGGACACTGCAGCTGTCGTAAGTATGAGTCAGATGCCAAGGGTCTGAATTTTGATCATGGAGATGCTGCAACAATGTCACTTTTTTCAGTGCCGTTGTAGCAATAGCATTTAGCCTTATATACCGCTTCACAGTGCTTTTACAGCCCTCTCTAAGCGGTTGACAGAAAGACAGCCTATTGCCCCCAACAATCTGGGTCCTCATTTTACCGACCTCGGAAGGATGGAAGGCTGAGTCAACCTTGAGCCTGGTGAGATTTGATCTGCCAAACTGCTGGCAGCCAGTGATCAGCAGAAGTAGCCTGCAGTAATGCATTCTAACCAGGGTTGAAATCCTACCGGTTCGGGCGAACCGCTAGGGATTATTGGCATCAGTTCGCTGAACCGGTACTAATCACCCCTCGTTGGCCCCACCCACGCCCAGCCACCTCTTCTGTTTGCTCAATATTCCACAGAATTCAATGTTAAATGCAGTGGAGAGAATGCTAACTTTTCTCCCTCCATTCAGAATGGAGCTTATGCAGCTTGTCCCTTTAAAGTAGTCCCCAGGAGGGAAGGAACCATAAAGGGAGCAGCAGCTCCGTTCTGAATGGAGGGAGAAAAGTTAGCCTTCTCTCTGCCACAGAAATCAATGTTAAATGCAGCTGAGAAAATGTTAACTTTTCTCCCTCCATTCAGAACGGAGCTGCTGCAGCCTGTCCCTTCTAAGGTAGTCCCCAGGAGGGAGGGGGATGGGGAGGGAGCAGCTGGAATGGAGCCTTTTTTGTGAAAGGCAGGAAAATGGGGAAGGGAATTTTCCTGCCTGTCATCCATTCCTCAATCTCAGCACAGATGAAGGAAGGATGGTAGGTAGGAATATTCCCCTCCCCATTTTCCTGCCATTCACGACAAGGAATGGCTGGGAGGGGAGGGGCCGGTGAGGAGCCCCTCGATGTGAGTGATGTCGAGTTGGCCATGCGCACCCAGTCACATGACCTCCCCCCCCAACAAGCCACACCCACAGAACCGGTAAGGGGAAAATTTTAATTTCACCACTGATTCTAACCACTGTGCCACCGCAGCGTCAAATGGTCACTAAGCAAACTTTTGTCAAGGACTACCTGTAATAATTAATCAAGATCCTTTTATAAGGGCACCAAAAGCATGAACTCCCAAAGAAGTCAGAGAAGACTATTAGTGAAAGCAGCATGATTAACTAGTGTTTCGGTTTACATACAGAAGACAAGGATGCCAAGCCAGAAGAGCCAGAACTAAGATTGGTTAGGGAACTCGGGGTCTTTGTGAGTCTCCCATGTAGGTAACTGCTCTCAGATGCTGTATCTGTCTCTCTGTCATCGCTCTACAAGACATTACACAAAGGGAGAGAAAGAAAAGTCTGCACAGATGTTCGAAAAAGTGGTAAGGACAACAAACAGCTCTGCCGAGATTCCCGAGTCTGGGATCCAGCCAGCCATATTTCAGGTTAATGTGGCATGCATAATTTGCATGCAATCATTTAAGCAGCACTTAATGAAAACAACAGTAAGGAATTAGGTGGTTCACTCAGAAGGCTCAGCATTCCCCCTTCAAACAAACTCGGATCAATTTTAAAGGAAAGGAGGTCAGCTGCCCTGTTTCTCTGGCTAGTGGTGTAGTGTAGATAAGACGTGATGTGGTGTATTATTATTATTGGTTAATCTTTAGTGAGATTCGCAGCCTTTGAGGCTGGTTAATAGCTCAGCAGCTCGAGTCCTAACCAAGGACCTAGGAACTGTTAAGGTATCGTCAGAGGATGTAAGCTGTTCCGAGTTAGGTGGTTTTTTTGTAGAGTCAAAATGTTCAAGTCTGGCAAATTTAGAATTTCTAAATAGCGGGGTAGCCCTTTGGGTATTGCTCCAAGGGCTCCAATTACAATCGGGACAACACACATTTTCTTTTTAATATTATTATTATTATTATTATTATTATTATTATTATTATTATTATTATTAATTAAACATGAAACTCAGTCAACTGGACATTTAAAAATGTGTCACAAATACCATTGACTGGTGCTAATGGTTGATACCGGTTGCTGCCAGCGTCCTAGGTATCAACCAAGTACCTTCTTAAGATGTATGATGTTCCGAGTAGCACAGTTTTTTGCAGTTCTGCTGTTATTATTGCAGAAAGCTAAAATTTGTTGATGTATCATATAAAATTCTTGGTCATGGCACCAAGTACCCCGATGACAATGGGTATCACTGTTACATGTTTCATCCATAATTGCATAGTTTTGATGGCCAGGTTTACTTATTTATTATTTTTATTTTTATTTTTATTTTATTATTATTATTATTATTATTATTATTATTATTATTATATTATTATTATTATTATTTAATCTTTAGTGAGATTCACAACCTTTGAGGCTGGTTAATAGCTCAGCAGCTCGAGTTCTAACCAAGGACCTAGGAACTGTTAAGGTATCGTCGGAGGATGTAAGCTGTTCCGAGTAAGGTGGTTTTTTGTAGAGTCAAAATGTTCAAGTCCAGCAAATTTAGAATTTCTAAATAGCGGGGTAGCCCTTTGGGTATTGCTCCAAGGGCTCCAATTACAATCGGGACAACACACAATTCCTTTTTCCACAGTCGCTCAACTTCAATTTGCAAGTCCCGGTACTTTGTGATTTTTTCTTATTATTTTAATATTATATATTATTTTATTATTATTATTATTATTATTATTATTATTATTATTATTATTATTATTATTATTATTATTATTATTATTATTCCTTGATTTCATTCTGGGCCTAAAGAAAAAGGCCATCTGTCCCTAAGACAAAGGAGCCAGTGTTGCAATCTTCAGGTTTTGTCAAATCTGATCCTCTGAGGAAAGAAAATAATTTCTAATTCCAGAAATTGAAAAGTCTTGCTTCTGTGTTCCATGTAACAGGTAGTCCTCGAATTTCAACCACAACTGAGACCTGAATTTTGGTTGCTAGGAAGGCAGTTGGTAAGGGAGTCATGCCCAATTTCACGGCCTTCTTTTGCCCAGGTTTGTTCAGTGAATCACTGCACTTGTGTCTTCATTAAGCAAATCGGGCTTCCTACTTTGACTTTGCTTGTCGGAAGTCAGCTGGGAAGTTGCAAATGGCGATCACGTGACTCCAGGATGCTGCAACCATCATAAATACATGCTGGTTTTCAAGCCTGCAATTTTTGATCACATGATCATGGGAATGCTGGGACGGTCATAAGAGGGAGGAACGGTCGCGAGTCACTTTTATGAGTGCTGTTGTAACTTCAAACGGTCATTAAGTGAATGCTTGTAAGTCGAGGACTACCTATATCTAGGAATTAATATATAGTTGGATTTCATCTACATATTGTGGCTTGCTTGGGGTCTGTCTTAGTGCATTCTATGAATCGTAGCCCGTTTGGCGTTTGCAAACCACAGTTTATGGCAATGAAGTAGCGGCTTTTTAAGAGAGACTGTTTTATTCCCTCCTTGTGAGTGAATCTCTTCTAACTGGGCTCTCTTTCAACGCTGCGAAACTTAAATGTTTTTTATGATTTACATATCAATGTAATCTTTTTATTAGTTATTCATTTGTAAGCCCCTCAAAGGCAGTTGTGTCTGAAACCCCATATAAACCTAATAACCCAAAAAATCAGGGGTGTCAAACTCGCGGCCCACAGCCTGGATGTGTCACGCGATGGCCACGCCCACCTCCGGTTTAGCAAAGGGGGGGGGAAGTCATGATATGTCACGTGCCGACAACGTGACGCCGTGAGTTTGACACCCCTGAAATAAATAATTGAAGAAATAATTGGGTAAGTGATATAATAGGGTGACCAGCAACCAGAGGGGGCTGCTTTCCTGTGCAGTCAAATACACATTTTTACAATACAAATTACAATTTTAGTTTGTCTTGTCAAAAAAACTGCATTGCTATCCCTTTAGAGAAAATATGGGGTATGAAACAGATGATTATTTCAATTTTTGAAAGCAGTTGTTTGACCAGTCCAGATGCATAAAATGTTATTTATGAACCACTAAGGAAAAAGTGCTGCTTTCTTAATAGGATTCTCCAAGGTATCTTTCCATTATTTTCTTTCTTACAATATTCAGACTGATTGCAGTAAAAAGGACATCTGCAAGCTTCATTTCTTTACCCTCCTGCTTTCTGAGTGTAGTTGCCATACATTTGACTAAAACAGTACAACCTTAAAGCGAAATCAACATTATGGTTTTTCTTAAACAGAGATTAAAAACTTGCCTCATCTTGAAGAAATGCTGGGACCGATTTGCTCATCATCTTAATTTTTTCCGGACGCGAAAACTGACTGTCAGAGAAAGAAGGTGCTGTGGAAACTAAAAAGCAGCAATTCACATGGAGAAAAGCTAATTAGATTCTAGTCTTGCTAAAAAGATTGACTCATAAAAGTGTTCTTGGAAGAAAAAAAAAACCCCAAAACATGCTTGAAAAACATGTGCGTGCAAGTTACGTTTAATAAAACCAGCAAAGTTTGCTGCAAAGAAGCTCAAAGAACTAACGTAATTCATGATCTATAAAAGTCCTTTCTGGGATTTCAAATCTCCTCTAAAATAAGGAATTTTTGCCATTTCTCCATTCCTACAACTACAATAATATAGGTCCACAAGAATTCTCCCATGAGATATAAGCAAAGCTACATGAGATGGTGCTTAAGAGATAATTTATACCAGAGCTTACATTTTATATAAATCAAGGATTTGTGGCAAACCTGGTTTATAAATAAATTTACCAATGGGTTCATTCAATTTATCCATGTATTAAACAGTTACCAATATCCCTCTGTGTGAAAAAAAAAGTGCCTCTATCGAATTGAATATTATCACGAGATTATCTGACTTCTACTCTTCCTTGTCGACGTTCAACACCCTTCTTAAATCAGGATCTTTTGAATGTAATGGACTAAATTTAAAGATTTTACCAGAAAATTGAAGTTGCGGATGATCAGACAAGGAAGGTACAGAGGAAGTTTAAGACCAGACGTTTTCAGACGTTTATTATTATTTTTAACCACATTTTTAAGGACTATTTCCTGCTTCAAAACATCAGAAAAATGGGATGCTAACCTTCATCATGATACACTGAAGATTAAATTTAAATGTTAACTGCATCCCAGTACAGGTAATCCTTAATTTACAACCACAGTTGGGACCAGAATTTTTGTGGCTAAGCAAGGAGGTTAAGTGAGTCACGCCTGGTTTTATGAACTTTTTTGTCACAGTTATTAAGTGAATCGCTCTGTGAAGCAAATCTGTCTTTCCCCAATTACTTGTCAGAAACCCAGCTGAGAAAAGTTGCAAGTGGCAGTCACACGATCTTTGGATGCTGCAATCACCGTAAATAGATGACAGCTGCCAAGAGCCCAAATTTTGATCATGTGAGCTTGGAGATGCTATGAGGATCGTAAAGGTGAGCACCAGTTGTAGGCAACTTTTTTCAGTGCCGTTGTAACTTTGAACGGTCACTAAATGAATGGTTGTAAGTCGAGGACTACCTGTATTTAGGTATCCCTTGGAAACTGATAGTGATGGATGTTCAGTGTAGGTAGTCCTCGACTTACAACCACAATTCAGCCCACAATTTCCACTGCTAAGCGAGACAGTTGTTAAAACTGAGTTTTGCCCCATTTTATGACTTTTCTTGACCCAGTTGTTAAGTGAATCATTGCATTTGTTCAGTTAGTAACACGGTTGTTAAGTGAATCTGTCTTCCCTACTGACTCTGCGTGTCAGAAAGTCACAAAAGGGGATCACATGACACTGCAACCGTCATAAATATGAGTCAGTTGCCAAGCATCTGAATTTTGATCAAGTAACCATGGGGATGCTGTAATGGTCTTAAATATGAAAAACGATCGTAAGTCACTTTTCCCATGCCGTTATAACTTCGAACAGTCACTCAATGAACTGCTATAAGTCAAGGACTACCTGTACATTACTTATTTAATTATTTTACATTTGGAGTAGCCAGACACTGCAATATAGAATTGCTCAATTCAATCCTTACTCATAATTTTACATATTCCTTCCCATTATAGAAACTAAAAAAGAAAGGAGAAGAAAGGGAAAATTTTTCTTTCTTTTTTTTTCTTAAACTGAACATTCATCATCCATTCCGGCAGATGAAGAGTGGGAAGAGGGAGGGAAAAAAATAAAGCTTAGCAATGTTGCAATTATTCAGTGGGCACCAAGTTTTCTACAAACAAAAACCGTGCCCTACAGTAATGGCCAAAATTGTGGAAACCTTTTGGGAAAAGTATATTTTTCTAAAACAAGCTAATAACACCACTTTATTTTGGAGTAGTACCAGGGGTGAAATCCAGCAGGTTCTGACAGGTTCTGGAGAACCGGTAGCGGAAATTTTGAGTAGTTCAGAGAACTGGCAAATGCCACCTCTGGCTGGCCCCAGAGTGGGGAGGGAATGGGGATTTTGCAGTATCCTTCCCCCAGGAGTGGGGAGGGAATGGGGATTTTGCAGTATTCTTCCCCTGCCACGCCCACCAAGCCACGCTCACAGAACCAGTAGTAAAAAAAATTGGATTTCACCACTGTATAGTACCATAAAATTATATATCAATGGAAAGATAATTTAATCAAGAATGTAATGCAATAATGTTTATGAAGGATTTGCTATTAGATTAGCAGTTACAGTATAAAGAAGAAAAGGGAAACACGTAAAAAAAAAGATATACAAAAATTATCACCATAGAAAAAACAAGATATACAAAAATTATCACCATGTCAGTTAATCCTTAGTTGGGTAACCTTTAGCATGAATGACGGCCTTACAATGTCTTCCCATGGAGTGAACAAAGTCTTTTAGTTCTGCAGCTGTTATAATGTGAAACCAAGATTGAAGAATTGCTTCTATTAAGCAATTTTTTTTTTTTGCTGGGTCGCTTTTGACTAACAAGGTTCTTTAGTTGGCTCCATAGATTTTCCATTGGGTTAAGGTCTGGACTATTCCCAGGCTATTCCAGCAGTGGAATAGGATTATCTTCAAACTCCTCAAAAAAAGTGGTGTTATTAGCCATCAAACAAAAATACACTTTTCCCAAAAGGTTTACACAATTTTGGCCACTACTGTATATCCACCAAGAACATAAAAATCTCAAAATTCTTCCCTGATCCTTCTCTGGAATCAAGGCTGTAACAATCTCTTCCCAAAATACTGGACCACGTTTGCAAATGAGCTATAAATCCTTCACGATCAGATTATTACTTTCTCCTGCTGCATTACTATCTCATTCTCATGCGTTCTACCATTTGTTTTCCTTCTGTTCGCTGGGTGTTAACTTCACGTGGCAAATGGAACCATGCCTTGCTTTAAACACACAATGGCTCTCCGCGACGCAAAATTAGTCCTTGTTTTATAAGATGCAAGCAATTAGCGGCACAAGAACAGCCTCGGAATGTATTAGTGGTTTAGTTAGTCAGTCGCAGAACATAAAACAATGAGAAGTCACAAAATGTTACACATTTCAGGAAGGGTCATTACTCACTTCCTGCTGGGTTGTCATTGGGCTCAGCTGGGTGATCTGATTAAAAAATGGCAACCACAAATAACATACTGTTATATTTAACAAGGAGGCTCTCGTTATAACAGTGCTGCAATTAACCGACAGGACCTATTTATGTAATGACGGATGATAATTTGGATGGGTTTTGAAAATGGACTGGAAAACGTTAGAGTGGGCAGAGGATAATTAATCCAGAATGTTTATGGTGATTCTCAGTCCTACAGGTCATGGTTGTCCCAAAGATGATTTTTCCAAAAGGCAACTGGATTGTTGTGGTCCGCCAGCAGCCTGCGGAGCTGGCAGCGGAGTCGGACAGCGATAGGCTGAGGAAGAACATGGGCCAGTCCTGGAGGCTGCGGAAGGCCGGATGAGGGCTCTGTATCGGAGGCAGAGATGGGACCAGGGCCATCGGGAGTGATGTGCGGACTTTGGAGCCTCCAGAGGCTGACAGTAGAGAGGCAGAGGAACAGGAGGAGCCTGTTCCTAGTGCACGTATGAGTAGAGCTGCCAGAAGGCAGGAGCAGCTAAAGCAGAGAGGACGACTCGGGAGTAGGGCCAAGAGATGATTGGCCCCTCCCATAAGGCTTAAAAGGCCAGCAACGGCTCTTGGCCTCTTTGCCAGAAAACAACATTGAGAGAATTGCTTCTTGTTTCACTGTATTCATTTCTTGTCTGCATCTTCTGCTTCTGAACTTTTGCCAAGAAAAGCCTTTGGCAGTTTGCCTAATTATCCCAAGGTCGGTGATAAACTGAGGAATGGTGTTTTGAAGAATTTGCTTTCATTTAGTTTGGACTACGCTGAGAATGAGTTAATTCTCAGCTGTTCTAATAAAGTCTGTTTGTTTTCGAACTGTTTGTATTTAATACTGTGTTTCCCTGAAAATAAGACCCTGTCTTATATTTTTTTTGAACCCCAAAATAAGCGCTTGGCCTTATTTTCGACGAGGTCTTATTATTTTGGGGCACGTCAAGCAAGTGCACACATTGGCGAACCGGTAGGGAAGGTAAGTAAATTTCACCCCTGGACTAGAGATTTTGGACTCATGCTGGAGCCCATCTTCAGAGAACTTCTCTCTACCAAAATATGTGCTTTGGGCTATTTGGGGAGTCATATTTATGTGGTGCCTTCCTAATGGCTGATTAGTGTATATCATTTTTTTTCCAAAGTAATCAACCACTAACTGGTCAATTAATCGTGGTCAAATATTCTAGGAAGTTAGGGATGTTCTGCCCATTTTAATTTCAATTACGGTGGCATATCATAGTTTATGTTAAGGTTTGGCACGCATTTTATACATACTCTGAGTTCTCCCAAGGCTGTGGGTTCAAACTTGAGCAACGTAAGCTGGACTACAATCTATATTTCTGAGAGGGCCATCTTCATACACGGCAGTAAACCAAAACCCACAGACTAACCCGAAGTCTAAATCATGAAATATTTAACAGCTCTAAAGCCTAGCTATTAGCTGCCACAGAAAACACAGAATACTTATTGCACACATTTGACTAAAGTAGAACATTAGATTCATGCAACTACGTATAAAATAATTACCATCTTCAGCACTAAGTACTAAGTCTTCCTTGGCAAGGTTTATTTTTTCTTTATCTGTGCAAGAGGAAAAATGGTGAGACAATTAGATAACTCGGCTGTTCAGGATATCCTTGTAGGTTGAAGCCTCTAGAAATGGGAGAGAAGCAAAATGAAATTTGGAGTACTGAAAAAGCCTCCTTTATAAAACCTCATGGACTGTGCCACAGGAAGAAGAGAAGGTTATCAAAAATTTTAGTACAATTTATATAGGGGTAGCCAGTGGTGGGATTCAAATAATTTAACAACCGGTTCTCTGCCCTAATGATTTCTTCCAACAACCAGTTCACCAAACTGCTCAGAAAGTTAACAACCGGTTCTCCCGAACTGGCTGAATCCCACCACTGGAGGTAGGCCTCGACTTACAATGAGAATTGGGCCCACAATTTTTGTTGCTAAGCAAGACAGTTGTTAAGTGAATTTTTTTGACCCCATTTTACGACCTTTCTCGCCACAATTGTTAAGTGAATCACCGCAGTTGTTAAGACAGTAACATGGTTGGTAAGGAAATCTGGCTTCCCCATTCATTTTGCTTGTCAGAAGGTGATTCCATGATCCCAGGGCTGGTATTCACTTATCTTCGCTACCGGTTTGCAAATGTGAGCACACGCGCCACTTCCGTGCATGTGTGGGACCTTCAAAAATGGGACGTGATGACGTCTGGGCGGGTGGGCGGAGCCTCCTGTCCCCACCGCTACAGGTTTGCTCGAACCGGATAGAACCGGCTAAATACCACCACTGATCCCCGGGACTCTGCAACCGGCATAAATACATGCCAGTTGCCAAGCCTCTGAATTTTTTAATCACATGACCTTGGGGATGCTGCAACACTTGTGAATGTGAACAATGGTTCCAAGTCACTTTTTTTCAGTGCCACTGTAACACTGAACAATCACTAGATGAATCGTTGTAAAGTCAAAGGCTACCTGAATAGTACATTTCTAGAATCATTTTAAGTATAGAACATTTATATCAAATGTCTATAGCAATGACTTAATGATAATCAAGTCATCCCCTGATAAGACATTACTACCAGCATTATCCGCCAGGTGGGATAATGGAAATAAAATTCAGGTGCAGATAGTCCTCATTTAGCAATTGTCTAATGTAATAACTAAATTCATAGTTATAATCATCATCATCTTTTTTTAACGACCCCATAATCACTTGTGGGGTGGAGTCTGGGCAACTGAATGAAGCTAGCAGAGTGTTTACTGGCCAGATGCTCTTCCTGTTGCCAATGTGGAGTTTTGTTCAGCAGATATATTCTCAATTGTGCCCGAAGAGAGAAATATCTGCCTCTACCTAGGATCGAACCCACAACCTCCTGATTGTGAGGCGAGAGCTCTACGTATAGGCCACTGCACCACTCCAATTGTTCATAGTTACAATGATGATGAAAAATTAATTTTACCACTGAGCCATCCTTGCATTTGTGACCTTTGCAGGTCTGCAAAGCAAAGGAAAGTTGAATTACAACCATAAACACAGTCACCCTTAGTAACCACTTCACTTAATGACGGAGTTGCAGGTCCCAACTGCAGTTGCTAACCGAGGACTACCTGTAATAAAAACTTTGGATGAGCCATCATGGATTTCGATCCAGGAATAGCTACAATATTGATCAAGACAGGGTGTGAGCCATTTCACCTTGCATCTTCTGAAACAATCCCACTAAAAAAATAACTTTATATGGGAGAAATGGTACAGATGGATTAAAAAGAGAAAGATGAAACAGGCTCAGACATAACAAAAATTGCTGAAGTAAAAATATATAGAGCATAAGTACTTTATAGTGATAAGTTTTGTAAATGGACACAGTTCCACATTAAAAAATGTTCTTTTTTCTTTCTTTCTTTTTGTATTTTTGTATGTATGTTTTTGGTTTTGTGTTTATCAAAAAATTAATAAAATATTTTTTAAAAAAATAACTTTATATAAGTTTTTTTCAATCCCTCCTACACTTATCAAACTTGTAGATGCACTTGCTTCATGAAAACTTTTCAAGGTATTTACCAGGGATGAAATGCTCCCGATCCGGTAGCGATTGTGGCCGGTGATTTGGAGAACCTGTAGCGATGGCGGCGCGAGGCTCCGCCCACCGGAGTGTTGTTACTTCCTGGTTTTAACCAGGAAGTAACCTGTTTTTTACCCTCTGCACATGCGCAGAAGATTTTGCGCATGCGCAGAGGGTCTGCGCGGCACGTGCACTTCCGAACCGGTAAGGAAGGTAAGTAGATTTCACCCCTGGTATTTACTCCTTCCACAAGGAACATAAAACGACAACAGTGGAGAGACTGGGACAAAACTATATTAAAAGAGAAATGTTAAGGGCATGGAAAAGGTCAGGTTTTGCTCACTTGAGGTGGCTGACGGTATATCCTCTACACTTTTAGAAGGAATTTGCCTATTTGAATTCCTTTTCAGAGCCTTCATAACGGGATTCAACTCTTCCTCCGAACCTGTTTCAAAACAAAAAATATGAGCACTGGACAACACATAGACAAATGACCCAACCACGTTACCTTATCTTTATCAGTGTTAATTCATCCAGGTTTTAAAAATAAAAACCAAAGAATACAAGAATGCCAGCCCTTAACGCCATTCCTCCTCGTGGTGGTCTGGAAATTTCTTCATTATTCACTTCCTCCCTTTCCCCTTCACTAGATGAAATTTGCAAGGACTGTCGCTGAATGGGACAATTCCATGTTTCTTGCAATACAGGCGGTCCTGAACTTACAACCACAATTGAACCCAAAATTTCTGTTGCTAAGCAAACAGTTGGGAACTGAGTTTTGCCCCATATTATGACCTTTCTTGCCACAATCGTTAAGGGAATCACTGCAGTTGTTAAGTTAGTAACATGTATTGTTAAGCGAATCATAGAGTGGTGCGGTGGCCTAGAGGTGGAGCTCTCGCCTCACAATCAGGAGGCTGTGAGTTTGATCCTAGGTAGAGGCAGATGTTCCTCTCTCTGGGCATGTTGAGAATATAACTCTGCACTGGCGTCAGGAAGGGCATCCGGCCAGTAAATACTCAGCTCCATTCAGTTGCCCAGACTCTACCCTGCAAGGGATTATAGGAGTCGTTAAAAGAAGATGATTGTTAAATATATTATATATATATTATATATATTTTATATTTATATTTATCAAATATAAATATAAATATATATTTATTTATATATAATATAAATATATAAATATAAATATAAATGGCTTCTCTATTAGCTTTGTTAATCAGAAGGTCGCAAAAGGAATATCATGATTCCGAAACACTGCAACCGTCATAAATACGTGCCAGTTGCCAAGCATTAAAATTGTGAACATGTTATCATGTTGCAAGGGTTGTAAGTGTGAAAAACAGTCATAAGTCACTTTTTTTAGTCCCATTGCAACTTTGAACGGTCACTAAACAAGTGGTTGTAAGTCAAGGATTGTCTGTATGTAATTCCACCTTTATAATGAAAAGTAGAATCCCATGCCTTCTAGAGTCCCATTTCTTTATAATATTTTTATCTGTTTGGTCATGTTATCTAATATTCCTATTTCACAAGTAGCTTCGTGTCGGTTATCAAATGTCAAGTACATGACTTTCTTCTTGCATGAGGGGCTTAGTCAGATGTGGTTGGCTTAGTCATTGTTGCTATGGGAAGGAAACTTTTGAGTTGCTAGGATTTTGAAAAAATGATTGATGTACACCAGGTTGTAATAAGTTGGGCTGGCTGGAAGAGGATCACAGCCACAGGCTGGGGCGAGAATCGATTTTTGAATCTTGAGAACTGATGCTGTTGGAAGAGCTAAAGAACAGAACCGATAGCTAAGCAAAGCAAGGAGCCATCCTGGAGTTATAGCAGATCTTCAAGCAGACAGCAGGATCTACTACCAGAAAATTTTCAAACCATTCAGTCAGAATAGAGTTGGAAGGGACTTTGGAGGTCTTCTAGTCCAACCTCCTGCTCAAGCAGGAGACCTTAGCCTATACCATTTCAGACAAGTGGCTGTCCATGTTCTTCTTAAAAACCTCCAGTGATAAAGCATCCACAACTTCTGGAGGGGAAGCTGTTCTCACCGTTTCTCCTTAAATTTCTCCTCACTCCTTCCGATGTAAAGAAACACCTTAAGTTTCTTTAAACTTTCTTATTATTGTCATTCCTTCTGATCTTAAGAAACTCCTTAAGCTATTCCTCATTTGTTTTGATCAGGAGGAATTTCTCCAAGCAACCTCAGTGGTCCAGATATATTAAGAAAGCAGGCGTAGGAGGAAGAGCAGAGAAAGCGTAAAATAATACATTGCACTGATTTCCAGCTCTGCAAGATTGCTTGGAGTAAAAAAAAAATACATGCATATCCCAATTTTACTTTGCTGGGCACAATTATCCTAAGAACCATAATAGCAATAGCAATAGCATTTAGACTTATATACTGCTTCACAATGCTTTACAGTCCTCTCTAAGCAGTTTACAGAGTCAACCTATTGCCCCCAACAATCTGGGTCCTCATTTTACCAACCTCAGAAGGATGGAAGGCTGAGTCAACCTTGAATAATGGAGCACATTTAACTCAAAACTGTTTATTTAAGTCCTCCAACTGATTAAAAAAAGCAATGTATGAATAAACCATTTACTCATCTCCCACTTGTGAAGTTGTCTCAATTTGCTAAATTGAGGAGCTAAAATGAACTTTGAAAACGTGACTATTTAGAATTTCAATCAATTTGTGCTATCACAAAGTTAAGGGGCTGTCTACAATATTGATTAGGTCTCTCTGCCAAACTAAGGCAGGATATAATCCAAACATATATCTGGCAGATATAAAGAAATTATTTTTTAAAAAATCATCCAGAATATATGCTACCATTCCTGACTTCTAACTGATTGCACAAGAGGAAGATAGGAAGACATCATAAATTAAGATTACTGTACAGATTTTTTGCCCAATGTTTTGGACCTCCTGCAAAAAACACATAAAGCATTTCTTAATTCAATGCAAAATATACTTCCATTTAAATCCCCATGGAGGAAACTATGACCCCTGAATCTTAAATCTGGACATCTTTGCTTTAGGGGGGAAAAATGAGCGTGTAGCTTCCAAGTGGCTTTCTAACAATCTTTATAAACACAGACCCAGATAAGAATAAAATAATTTTTAAATGCTCACATATTGGATCTCTTTGTCTTCCCGGAATGGATTTATTTTTGTCTGAAAAATCTGACTCACAATTCTTGGCACCTCCATCATCATCGTTGTCATCATCAGCTGGAGGGACAGCATGATGAAGCTCCACTTCCTTGGTTTGGAGAGGACTTCCATAGACGGGGGTGCTTGATCTTTGCAAACCATGGTCCACCATCAGGCTTCTGTTGGCATCAATCAATGAAGTGGAGAACTCTGTTTCCTTCTCTTGTATGCTTCTGTCCTCTGTCTTATCGGTTGTGGAAGGAAAATCCTTATCTTCTTCCAGATAAGGACTTTTTGAAGATGCTAGATGAAGATGGATTATTTTTTGGAAGGCCATGTTCTCTGAAATCTTTGCTCCTTCGTCAGTTTGCTTGGAGGCCTTCTCTGTAAGTGGGATCTTAAGTTCGCTACGATAATCACTCGACACCGTCTCTGTCAATGTTGACATTCGTACCGGTAACCTTTGTTCATCTAAATCAGGTGTTGAATCACCGGTGACTTTCTTGCAATCGACTGTGGGTGGCTGAGAAGCAGGATCCAAATGTTCCAAAATTAATTTTTCTAAATTAGATTTTAATGCCCAGTCATCTTTTGCTGGAGCAACCGATTTCATGATGGTTTCTTCTTGAGGAAAGTTTAAATGTTGAGAAGGTAGCGCCTGAGCAGCTTCCTTGAGTAATTTCTGCAAGCTGGAATTAAATTCACTTTGTTGAAATCTGGATGGTGTGCTAATCTTGTTTGCAGTTTCATTGACTTCTTGAACGCCGTCTGTTTCTTGTTGACTGATAAAACCTCTGTTCTCAGTGGATTTTTTGTTTATTTGCATCTCATTGCTGCTCTGTACGATTTTCTGGCTATCTGATAAAATTTCAGAATTTTCCTTGAGTAACGTTTGGAAACGGTCTTTGAATTCAACCTGTCTAGAATTAGAAGGAATATTAGATTTTTCTACTGATTCAGTTACTTCTTGACTAGCCAATGTATCTTTGGCTGTATCAGGCTGTAATGTGGATTGTGTAAATTTGGGAAATTCTATGCCTCCAAGTAACACTGTCGAATCTTCGTTAAGTCTTTGTTTTAAGTTGGCTCTAAATGCTGCCTGATCACATGATTTGGGTTTAATAGTTTTTACAGCTGTTTCCATCTCGTCCAGAGGCTGCTCCCCAGCTAATTCCCCCTGGATTCTATCCTTATGATCTGCATATTCTCTCGTTGCTTCCGTTGTGCCATCTTGCGGGACGATCTTCACATTGTCATCTTTGTTTGTATCTTTGCTTCCCGCAACCATCTCACCCACAGTCTCTCTCAAATGACTGGACGTTTGGAGTGAAGCAAAGCCTTCCTTTTCACTCATCTGTTGATAGGATTTTTGTTGATTCTCTTTAGGAATACCATCAAGTGGGGTTTCCAAAATGTCGTCCGTACTGGGCCATGTTGCCGATTCTTTCAACAGACTGATGAGTTTAGCGTTCAAATTGCTGCATTCTCTGTTTGGTGGGACGTTATGTTTGGATACCATCTCAAGAACTTCTTCCTCAGGAGAATCCGTTCTGTTCTGAGCTGCACCACAGGTATCAGGTTGTATCAGTTCTAGTGATGGAACCAGCAAATTCTTTTTCCAAGCAGGATTATCATTTAAATACATTGGCCTATCTTCTTTGTTGGGGACTTTCATTGACACAGATGTTAATTCTTCCAATGATCTAGGCAAGCTTCCCATGTGGGTTGTGAATTCCACAGGCTGAGTTCGGAGTGAGTCACGTTTTTCAATAGTTCCTTCTGTTTGAGAATCCACTTGGATCTCTTTTGGATCACTGGGATAAGAATGATGGCTGCGGTCCATCACCTTATTAAAAAAATCCCTTTTCTCTGATGTAGGATCTGCTGGTTCAGAGACATCCATTATTAAATGATGCCTGAGAGAGGCCTGTAGACCAGACGTTTCCTTAAGCAACTTCTCCAAACTTGTATTAAAAGCATCAGCGGCTGCAGCTTTTGGTGGGACCAAAGTCTTATTTACAATCTCTATGACCTCACTTGTTTTAAGTCCAGCTTTTCTGTTTGTGTCCGGAAGGACAAAACTAGGTTCTTGACTCTGGTCATTGGGAGCCATTGGATCCTTTGCTACTAACTCTACACGTGGAATCCCTTTCTCATGTATTGGTGGGCAAGGGGACTCCTGTAACTCTTCAACCAACGCTGGTGGTTGAAAACTACTGTGAGCAACTTTATGCTGTATTTCTAGTGAAATAATTTTTATTCCTGCGTGTTCCTTTCCTGGAGCAGAGGAGTCCTTATCCCTTATTGGAACATCATCTAAAGGCATGGGTACTGTAGTTGCTGATGGGGAAAACACTGCTAAAGGACTTTGGTGTGAAATCTTAGCAGTGGGTTTCTTCGTTTCCTCTTCTGGAAGAGGAAAACCAGATCTTCCATCGTCCGAAATGGCTTGGCTACTTCCAATTCTTTCTGGTAACTCTTTCGTGTAACTTCCAGTGCTGCCCTTGTGCTTCTGCTGTGAGATGGTCTCATCGGTTTTGCTCTGTAATTTAGTCCCCGTGTCCCAAAAGTTTCTCAGGCTCTGGAATTGAGAAGGGTTGAGCATTTGAGACCTGGATTCTTCATCCATTTTTTCTTTCAGCGAATGAATCTTAAAAGGAGACTTTGGCTGGAGAGCGGGTAGAATGGTCTCTTTTTCTAAAGCAGTGACCTTTGGCCTTTCACCTTCTTTAGAAGATGCCCTCTCTTTGTAACTCAGCTGCAAACTGCTCTCCTTCAACAATCCCGTCACGTTAGTATTTTTCTGGTCGTTTGAAAGTACTTCATTGGCTATATTAATGTCTTGGCTTTCCGTAGATTTATCCCCTCGGATGGGCTCGCTCGTTCCTGAAAACTTAACATCATCACCTTCCACCTCCGAGTCCTCCTCACTTAGCTCAACTTTTCTGAAGGTAACTAAATTATATTTGCTTTGTTCATGGTCAGATTCACTGGTTACATAGCCAGAAGATCCGCTCACTTGTTTTCGCCTACCGTATTCCTTTGTATAATTAGACATGTTTTCATTTGTAAGAACTTCCTTATTTCCGAGCTCTGGAGTCATCTTCCCACCTTCCCAGAAAGCCTTCATATCCTTGACTCTCTTCTCATCTCCTATCATTGATGATTGTTGTAACTCATGTTGTTGCAGGACCAGGTTACTTCTATTGTTGGCATGGGCCATATTTTTGGCGTCTAGAAAATTACAGGCCTCTCCTTTAGGATCTTTCTGAGTTTCTCCAGATTTAAGCTCAATGTTTTCTTCTTCCAAGAAAGATTTAACATCTCTCTCTCCATCAGTGTATGTCTGTGAACTGATTTCTCTTTTCATTCCAGTTCTGAAAGAAGCGTCAGGGTTCTTCAAATCCATAGATGTTTTATCTTCAAAAGCATCTTCACACACGTCTTTTGGGTTACTTTCATCCATCTTGTCCTTACTCTGATCAATGGTCTGGAAATGGGTTCTCTTAGTGATACCATGAATATTGCGAGAAGTTGCATTCTCATTTTCTTTGCTTTGGTTCAAAGGAGCTTGGTCTCCTAGGACCACATCACTTGGACTTTCGTTTTCCGAAAACGATAACTGCCCTGGTTGCTTTATGACATCCTGGAGCCTTAAGTCTCTGCTCGTTGACTCTCCTCTTTGATACAGAGAGGATTTCGAATTTAACGGATTTGTATTCGACCCCTTATCTTCTCCAATTGCAGACCATTCCGCTGACTTTGGAGTGTCCGTTTCTTCTGCAAATGGCCTTTCCTGAGAGGTTATCAAAACTGTTTCTTTGTCAGCAGTGCCGGAACTTCTTTTGAACCAGTCTAGCACTTTGGATATGGATTCATCAGCGGCCTTCAAACTTTCAGCAGCATGTTTGTCAACACTGCGACCCACAACAAGAGCAGGCTTACCTTGTTCAGGGTCTGCAAGGCCAGATTTTGGCAACACGGCTTCCTCTGCCTCAGCCAAACGCAACTCCTGGCCTACAAGAGACACAGCCAATATTTCTTGAGAAACGGGGGAGGGAAAAATTTGTAGCCTCCCCAATTAATGGTATCACTTGATTTCCAGCTGCCTAGATCAGCCTGACTGGGAACTATGATGCTTTTATGACTTGTGGACTTCAACTCCCAGAATTCCTGAGCCCGTCATGTTGGCTCAGGAATTCTGGGAGCTGAAGTCCACAAGTCATAAAAGGGTCATGGTAGTTCCCCACCTCTACTATATATATATATATACACCTTTAAAGAAAAAAAATATTTCATTTTTAGATGGTGTATATATTTTGAATTAGAAAAGTGATGGCTGTTTTCCAGTCTGCCAAATATTTCCCAAAACATTGCCTGACATCTAAAATGCTTGTATTTTTAAAGCTAATTTTAAAATGTGTTGTCCAATTTATAGGATTTAACATCAGCCAATCAATTAAATTTGCAGTTTAATTATTACCTAGGATATCCAACTGCATAATCAGTGTTTTTTTAAGTAAAGATATTCATGTGTTATTTGTTTACATTCCATGTCCTGCATTTTTCATTTTTTAAAAAAACAATCTCTCAGAACACTAGTATTGGTAGAAATTCTTGAACAGCCTGCTAATCTGTTTTGATAATGTAGCTATTATTACATTTTGTAGAAGAATCCTAAAATCATAGGGTTTGAAGTGACTTCAAACTCCCTACCCAGACGAGAGAGCCTCCTCATATCATTTATTTTATTTTATTTTTTATTTATATCCCACCTTTATTATTTTTACAAATGACTCAAGGCAGTGAACATATCCAATACACCTTCTTTTTGTTTTCCCCACAACAACCCTGTGAGGTATTTTGGGCTGAGAGAGAGTGATTGGCCCAAGGTCACCCCCAGTTGGCATTCATGGTTAAGGCAGGATTTGAACTCATGGTCTCTCACTTTTGAACCTGATGCTTTAATGACTAGACCAAATAGCTATCCCAACTTTTCTTGGAAAACTTCCAGTGATGAAGCCCTTATGCCTCCAGAAGATAAGCTGTTCCATTGCTTTGTAACTTCTGACAGTCAAGAAATTCCTCCTTATTTCAAGTTTAGGTCTTTTTTATATAAAGCTTCCATTTACTGTGTTTCCCCGAAAATAAGACCCTGTCTTATATTTTTTTGAAACCTGAAATAAGCACTTGGCCTTATTGCCATGCGGTCAAAAGCCTGTTTGGGCTTATTATCAGAGGATGCCTTATTTTGGGGGAAACAGGGTATTGATTCTTGACCTACTCTCAGGAACTCTGGAGATTAAATCTATACTCACTTCTTTGTGACAGTTCTTTAAACTTTGAAAACTGTTATCATGTCTCCCCATTAGCCTTCTTATCTCAAATTAAACATACCCAATTCCCAGCGGTGAAATCCACTTACCTTCGCTACCGGTTCGGGAACAGGAGCGCGCGGGAACCCCCATGCACCTCTTCTGCGCATGGGCAGAAGGTAAAATAACGGGACGTAATGATGTCCCGGCAGGTGGGTGGAGCCTCCCACCGCCACCGCTACCGGTTCAGCGAGCCAGATAGAACAGGGAGGATTTCACCGCTGCCAATTCCTTCGTATTTTAGATGAAAAATTTTAAATACCTGGTCAAATTTTAAGCTGAAACTTCCTGTTACAAACATTTAAAAAACACCAATCAGCTGTTTCTGTTTTCTCGTAATGGTAGTGATTAGACCAGTCTATACAGGAGACGACCAAATAGAGATCGAAGGCGGGGGCAAACACATCATGAGTTTGGAGTCACTACGCAGCCACAAGAGATTCAAGCCCAGCCCTCCTGGAATTCCATTGCCTCTTATCTAGTGCTACCGTAATTTGGCTTGATCATCAATAGGTCAGATTCTTGTTTATAGCTAGCATGGAATAAACTTGAAGTACTTTGAACTCAACTCCTGTTCCTGATTATTTCTGCCTGACAGTTTGGCCACTAGCTACGGAAACAAACCAGTTTGTCCACACTAAACAACAAACAACGATTTACCAAAAATTAGAAAACAAGATGCACAATTGGAATAAAGAAGGATTTTTCTGTTTAAGTTCAGATTCTGGAATCCTAACACGTACATCTTAAAAAACACAGCTAAAATCCTTCTCCAAGCCCCATTAGTTACCAGCTACATGAAAAAATAAACCAAGCCTCCTTAAGTATAATAACCTGCTTGTTCTAATTCTGTTTGATAGTGTTGCTGCTATTTCCATCATTGTTTAATGCATCCTGAATGAAATAATTAGCAAGTACACAATAATTTGATGATGGGGAATTAACAGAGAGGCAAAGACATTAAAAGTACAGGTAGTCCTCGACTTATGACCACAATGGAGCCCCAAATTTGCAATGGTAAGCCAGATACTTAAGTGAATTTTGACCCATTTTATGACCTTTTTTGGCACAGTTGTTAAGTGAATCGCTGCAGTCGTTAAGTTAGTAACATGGTTGTTAAGTGAATCCGGCTCCCCTCTTGACTTTGCTTGTCAGAAGGTCGCAAAAACTGACCACGTGACCCCCGAGACACTGCAACCATCATAAATACATACCAGTTGCCATGCCTTCTGTATTCTGTATACATGTATTCTGTATATATCCAAATCTTGATCACATGATAATGGGGACGCTGCCATTGTAACCTTGAGCGGTCACTAAATGAATACTTGGAAATCGAGGGCTACCTGTACTACCACACTCCTAAAAACAAGACTGAAAATAGGATGAAACAAGAGTGACCACTTGACTAGATGTTATCTCATTGGCTTTCATTATGTTTCTTACCAGTTGTGTGTTGTGTAGTGTCACATGGCTCAGGATTCAGCTGCTTAGTTTTGGACTGAGACACAACTGGAACAGTTTCATTGTCCATGGTGCTTGGAACTATCTTCCTGGATGGTTCCCCTGGGAGTGCAGCTTCTGTGGGAGGACTTTTCACTAACCGTGGCAGATCTGAGTCATTAAAGCTGTAGGAACCTGAAGGCATTTCTCCTTCTCGAGATTCTTGTCCATCCTTCACGTTACCATCTAAAGCCGGAGAATAGGACCGCGCTGGCTTTCCTGGAGAAGATGGACCGTCTAAATAATTGACTTCATTCTCGTTGGCCTTAACAGAGTTGGTGTCTAACAAATGGAACTCCCCAAGTTCTTTGCCCTCGTGCAACTCGAGTTTTGGTGGACATTCATTCTTATTTACGCTGGAGGAAAACCTGACCTGTTTTAGTCTTTCCAGTGAGTTTTGAGAATAGTCTTCTGCTGAGGGAGGACTCTTCTCTGCAACATCTTCAAGGATGGTGGAGGTTGGCAACCCACTTTTGTTAGGTGGCTCCAAGGTTTGGCTCAGACGCAACACTTCGGAATCCGTGGAACTTGAACTTGAGCTTCGTTTGAGGATGCCCTTGGGTAGCCTTCCTTGGCCATTGACTTGCTTGATCTTTCTAGGTGTTCTGGGTAAGGAATCTTTACTCTGCAAGCTGACATCAGAGGTCTTGTGGACATTCTTCCTAGCTTTTGGTATAGGCAGTTTTCCTGTCTGCCTAAATTCTGAAGAAGGTTGTTCAGATGCTTCTGTTCCACTGTAGTTCAATAAATGTACTCTGGATTGGTTTTCTACGGAAGGTGAACGAGTGGCTGCAAAACAAGACCCATACACACAGAAAGAGAAAGAGGGAGGGAGAGGGAGAGGGGGAGAAAGAGAGAGGGAGAGGACGAGGAGAGGGGGAGAAAGGGAGAGGGAGAGAAAAAGAGAGGGAGAGGGAAAGAGGGATAAAGAGAAAGAGGGAGAGGGAGAGGGAGAGAAAAAGAGAGGGAGAGGAAGAGAAAAAGACAGGGACGGGAAGAGGGAGAGGGGGATAAAGAGAAAGAGGAAGAGGGAGAGAAAAAGAAAGAAAGGGAGAGGGAGAGGGAGAGGGAAGAAAGAGGGGGAGAGAGAGAAAAAAAAGAGAAAGAGAGAGAGGGGGAGAAAGAGGGAGAGGGAGAGGGAGAGAAAAAGAGAGGGAGAGGGAGAGGGAAAGGGGGATAAAGAGAAAGAGGGAGAGGGAGAGAAAGAGAGAGAGGGAGGGAAAGAAAAAGAAAGAGAAAGGGAGAGGGAGAGAAAAAGGGAGAGGTAGAGAAAGAGAAAGAGAGAGGGGGAGAGGTAGAGGAAGAGAAAGAGAGGGAGAGGGGGAGAGAGAGAAAGAGAAAGAGGGAGAGAAAGGGAGAGGGAGGAAGAGAAAGAGAGAGAGAGAGAGAGAGAGAGAGAGAGAGAGAGAGAGAGAGAGATACACACACATACAATGAAAGATTTATAAGCAAACTGCAGATAAGAACTGCTTGGCCACTTCAAAACTTGTGGACTTCAACTCCCAGAATTCCCTAGCCAGCCACACATTATGATACATCTAGAAAAGAATTGATGCTAACATGCTTACTAAATAATTTTAAGTTTTAACCTTATTCTATAGGAATAGTAAAACCAGAATTATTTTTCTATCTTACATAGTAAAGAGAGAGAGGCAGTTATAAAGTGATGGTTTTAGTAACGCCCAGCAAAATTACAGAAAATAGCCCAAGCTATTATTTATTTTGCTAATTTTCCAAATGCAGGTGAATAATTCCACGAGTGGAATTCTTCAATACAATCCGAGTCCGCTCGTCTGATTTTGCTGCATGCTATGGCTAGGCCTCAGATCAAGAAAAAATATTGGATTAAGGCAGTGGTGAAATCTAAAATTTGTTACTACCGGTTCTGTGGGCGTGGCTTGTGGGGGGGAGGGGAATGTGACTGGGCGGGTGTGGCCAATTTTTTTTTTTTTACTTTTAAAATCATTTTTTCTACAACCTCTTCTGCGAAGAAGAGGTTGTTAAAAAATGCTTTCAAAAGGCTCTGACGATCCCAGCTGAGTTGCCTGATCGTCAGAGGGTTTTTTAAAAACCCTCTGCCGATCAGGCAACTCAGCTGGGATCGTCAGAGCCATTTAAAAGAAAAAAAGCCTCTGATGATCGCACAGCTCAGCTGGGCATGGGGTGGGGGGCAGGGATTTTTGCTACCGGTTCTCCGAACCACCCGCCTCCATCGCTACTGGATCGGGTGATCCGGTCCGAACTGGGAGCATTTCACCCCTGGATTAAAGTAAGAAAGAAAACTATTTTTTTTAGTATAAGAAACCCAGGCATATTTTAAGTAGTAGTTCTTGTTTCTCATGGCATGCTTGTAAAATATGGTTAGTTAACTGGCACATGGAAAGTCCGTTTGATATAGTGGTTAGGGCACCAGGCTAAAAAACTGGGAGACCCTGAGTTCTAGTCCTGCCTTAGGCATAAAGCTAGCTCAGCGACCTTGGGCCGGTCCCTCTCTCTCAGCCCTGGGAAGAAGGAAATGGAAAACCACATCTGGAATCTTGTCAAGAAAACTGCAGGGACTAGTCCAAGCAGTTACCAGGACTTGAAGGGGTGGTGGTGATAGAGGAGGAGGAGGAGAAGAGGAGGAGGAAGAGGAGGAGGAGGAGGAGGAGAAGGAGGAGATCTTACATCCAATATATGGATCAGTAACTACTCTACTCCAACAATGCTGGATAACCAACATTTTGAAACAATTTTGGTAAGTGTAGAGCTCAACAACTATAAGTGAACCTGGAATTGTAGTTATTAAGTTGTGCTGGTCATTTTACTAGTTACCATGTCACTGTGCCAGATTTTACAACCTATTTTGTGGCAGTCGTTAAGCAAATGCCATGGTTGTTAAATGAGCGTGGCAGTCATGAAGCAAATCCATCGTCCACAACAGGCATTTTGGCTGGACACCAGGAGTAAACCAGTTTCTGGCAAAGATACATCGTAAATTACAGTTACGTGGTCGCAAGGTGCTGAAAACAGGCCTAAATGTGGACCAGATGCGGACACCCAAAATGCGATCAGGTTGGGGGGGTTGGGAGGGGAAATGTGTGTGTGTGTGTGGCCATCAGAACTTCAAATCCAAGTCATAAGTAGCTCTGGGAAGTGCATCGTAAGTTCAAGCAGTTGCTAAATTATCAGTCTTAAGTTGAGGACTATCAGTATTAGCATTGGATAAGCAAAGCACTGAATAAATAACAACATCGTATAATTTGTACAATTATATAGACAGAAGCTGTCTTAATATAATTTTGTACTGCGCAATTTTGCCCATTATCTGCAAACCCCACCCCAATTCCACACAGTACTTTTGCTAAACAACTTTGTAATGTAGCTCTTACTTATATGATATCAAAGCATACTGTCATATTTGTTCCAAGGTTTCGCTTATTCTATAAAAACTGTGCAGACTATTTTTTAAAAAAAGAATCTTCACCTTCCTCTGTTGCTTCCGATGAATCAGTCATTCCATTTTCAGGCTGCTCAGTTTTTGCATTATCTTCTGGTCCAGTTGAATCATTAAACGGATTTTTCCTTTGCTGGAAGGGTTTAATTTACATGGTTTAAAAACATGGAAAGAAAGAACAGCAGAGAAAATAAAGACCCTCAAAAATGCTTTCATATTCTCAGCTCCCTTCATTGGCCATTCTTCAAAGGGGATTGACAACATCCCTGATTTAGAAGGATAAAAGCCGTATTAACCAAGACGACTGTTACTTCTTTTTAATTAAGATAAATCTTACTCCATTCATTAAGACTTCTTTCCATTAAAGATGCTGATTGTCATAATGGAAATTAAAGACCAGCATTACACAGCTGTGCAAGTCAAACATACATTCTGGAAAGCAAAGAACCCCATTTGATACAGGAATAAAAATTTGCCTTCACAGAACACAGTGAACAGGATATCGATAATATAAACATCTTCTCTAAGCTTGCAGCTAGACTCCATCAAGTCTAAAAATACTGTAATTTAAGAAATCATAGAGAGAAAATAATTGTAGGAGGAGACTCGAATTAGTTTATGGTAGCAAAAAATCAGAAACCCATAACACCTTTTCCAACTAATGCATTTTATTAAAAGGCATATTTTTTGTACAGATGCATAAAATATCTTGCTCTGGCATTAAAAAGCAGTAAAAAGGGACACAGTAATGAATGTTAATCCATCTTAATAAATGACAAAATGTTTAAAGTTTGTTGAGTTTGCTGGTGATTTGGGACTAAAAATGGCATTGTGATTGGTGGAATTAAAAATAATTCCATTATCAGCTCAGATATTTACTTCTAAAAATGAGAATATTCCAGAGCCAGTGGAGGGTTCACCAATCACTTCGTTGTTCTGCCTGCCAATGAAACCTGTAACTTCAACAAGCAAGAGGCCTTGGGACACTTCACTAACCAATCCAATTCCATAGATCGTGGAGGCTGCTCAACTCTGAAAAGGCAATTTGCTTTCTATAACCATTCATCTCAAGGTATTATTTTAAAAAGAAGTAAAATCATTGCAAAAAATGATGGCAAGTTACTGAAATAGCAAGATTGCATTTGTCCTGACCCTCCCTCCCTCCCTCCCCTCCCTCCCTCCCTCATTCATTCATTCCCAACTTCCTTCGCTCCTTCCTTCCTTCCCTCCCTCCCTCCATTCCTTCTTCCTTCCTTTTCTCCCACCCTTCTTCCTTCCTTCCTTCCCTCCCTTCTTTCTTCCCTCCCTCCCTCCTTCCTTCCTTTCCTTCCTTCCCTCCCTTCTCTTCCTTCCTTCCCTCCCTCCCTTCTTCCTTCCCTCCTTCCTTCCTTCCCTCTCTCCCTCCCTCCTTCCTTCTTTCCTTCCTTCCCTCCCTTCTCCCTTCCTTCCTCCCTTCTTCCTTCCCTCCTTCCTTCCTTTCTTCCCTTTCTTCCCTCTCTCCCTCCCTCCATTCCTTCTTTCTTCTTTCCTTCCTTCCTTCCCTCCCTCCCTCCTTCCTTCCTTCTTTCCCTCCTTCCCTCCCTCCTTTCTTCCTCCCTCCCTCCCTTCTTTCCTTCCCTTCCTCCCTCCCTCCCTCCATATGCCTTTCAAGACCAATGGGCTATTTTACTTTTCTTCATTGCTTGTGAAAGAGCCAGAATCAGGCCCTAGGGAACCGTTAGTAAAATTCTGAGACCACCTAAAATGTTACTGAATTGCTCATAGAAAAAGCTAAGCTCAGGGCCATGCAGTTCCACTTTAGGATTAGCATAAGCAATCAATAACGCAAAGGTGAGGTCATAAAAGACTGTTGCCTTTTCTGCTTCTTCTAAATATTCATTTAGGCACTTGACCATCACTGGGTAGTAATGATAAACCCACCTTAGATGGGGAAAGAGCTTGTTTCCTTGTTTCTTCCTGAGGTTTCTGTAATGTATTGGAGGCTGCATTGGACATTTTGGGGCTGAAGAAAAAGAGACAAGAAAAGAAGCTTAGATCCTGTCCAGGTCACCCATCTAAACAGGCTTAAGTGCCAGGACTTTTAATTAAGGAAACCTTAAGTACAGGTAGTCAGTCCCAAAGGTGCTTTTTCAGGAGACAACTGGACTTTCTTGCTTTTCCTTTGAAGGCATTTCGCTTCTCATCCAAGAAGCTTCTTCAGCTCTGACAGGATAGTGGGGAATGGAAGGATTTCTATGTCACTGCGTTCTTTTATTTACCAGCTGAGCTCATCATTTCTGGACTATCAGACTTTCCGTACCTTGCCAAGAATTGTTATCAAAAGCTACTACGCATGTCCATCCACCCACATTCCTTCTCCACACTCTTTCCTTTGTTCTCTTGCCAGAGGTCCGGCTGGACCGGCAGGAGACCTCGTTTGCCAAAATGTAACAATTACTTTTCTTAGTTAATGAGGTGTTTTATTTTCTTTATAACAAATAAATGAGTTTTATTAGAAAACTTTTCTTCGCGTTTCTTTTCAGAATATTGCAACTTGGAGAGGCCACGATCCATCCTCTAATTAAACCAGGGTGATTTGTCCCAGAGCCAAACATGGGATTAATCAATGCCCTGACATTCTACTCCTTGAAGATATGTGAAATCCTTCCATTCCTCACTATCCTGTCAGAGCTGAAGAAGCTTCTTGGATGAGAAGCGAAACGTCTTCAAAAGAAAAAACAAGAAAGTCCAGTTGCCTCCTGAAAAAGCACCTTTGGGACAACCATGACCTGGATGACTGAGAATCTCTACAGACTAAGTACAGGTAGTCCTTGTCTTACAACAGTTCGTTTAGTGACCAAAGTTACAATGGCACTGAATATTTTATGACTGTTTTCACACTCATGACCGTTCAGCTACCCATGGTCACATGATCAAAATTCAGATGCTTGGCAACTGGCTCGTATTTATGACGGTTGCAGTGTCCCGTGGTCATGTGATTGATTGATTACCTTTTGCAACCTCCTGACATGCAAAGCGAATGGGGAACAACCAACTTAATAATTGCAGTTATTCACTTAACAACTGTGGCAAGGAAGGTTGTAAAATGGGGCAAAACTCGCTTAACATCCATCTCGGCTTAGCAACAGAAACTTTGGGCTCAACTGTGGTCGTAGGTCAAAGACTACCTGTATCTGAATTAGGTGTCTCATCTGTCCCTCTCTCCAACTGACTGATACATTTTTATCCTCACAAGATTTTACCAGCTAAGCACCCGCTGATATATGTACTGTATTTTTCGGAGTATAAGACACACCTTTCCCCCCGCCCCAAAAGAGGCTGAAAATTTGGGTGCGTCTTATATTCCGAATGTAGCTTTTTCTAAGCTTTTTTTAGCCCTGAGGCACTAGCGAGGCACTAGCGAGCAATCTTCCCAGTTTTGCCTGCTCCCTCGACTCTACACTGTGCTATAAGGAGCAAGTAAAGCGATCTCCCTGCTTTGCTCTGACTCTCAGCTGTTCTTTAGAAGCTTTTTTTCAGCCCTAACTAGGCGATAGCCGAGTGAAGCGATCTCCCCATGCTTTGCCTGCTTTTCTCATTGCTGCTTCCTCTCAGCTGTGCCTTAGAAGCTGTTTTTTATCCCCAAACAGGGGATAAAAAAACAGCAAACTAATGTGCTGAAGCTGACCAGACTAAGGACGCTAGCCAGATGAATACCTGGTAGTCAGATTTTTTTTTTTTCCTATTTTCCTCCCCAAAAACTAAGCTGCGTCTTATACTCCGGTGCGTCTTGTACTCCGAAAAATATGGTAATTGGTTTCTATTGTTTTTTTTACTGTATTAAGTTTCCGTGATGTGTTTATACAAGTGGTAACCCTGTTACTAACTTAACGGGTGCTGTGATTCACGTAACAACTGTGGCAAAAAAAAGTTGTAAAATGGGGCAAAATTCACTTTTTGCTTAGCGAAGGAAATTTGGGACTCAATTGCGGTCGTAAATTGGGGATTACCAACTTCATGGTTTTGCACCATTTCTCACGGAGAATAATAAAACCCATTTTCCCTTTTAAGCACAATTCATTTTCAACGCAATTACTTTTCATTCATTCATTGTGTACATTCTGTAACAAGGACATTGCAATTAATTAATTGCAAATTAATTTTAACATCCGTACACCTTGCTACATAAAACTGTCTATCCAATGCTTCCTGCAAAAAAGTGTAGTCTGCAATGTGGCATTTATCTGCAGAAGAAAAATCAAGACCATTGAAATCTCCTAGCAATATACCGTACTGTGTTTCCCTGAAAATATGACCTACTCTGAAAGTAAGTCCTAGCTTGATTTTTATATGTGCACCCAATATAAGCCTTATCCCCCAAAATAAGCCCGAATTAAGACCCTGCTCACTCCAGAGTGCAGGGGTAAAAATTAAGCTAGGGTGAGGATAGGGGAGGTGGAGCTACCCTACTACTTATCTTTGGACAGTTGCAACCAGGCCTCGCACATCCCGACAGCTGCCTTGCCGGCCCATTGGTGGAGATGTACAGCTGGGTGTCATCAGCGTACTGATGGAACTCCACCCCAAAGCCACGGATGATCTCACCCAGCGGCTTTACATAAATGTTGAACAGAAGGGGCGAGAGGACCGACCCTTGTGGCACCCCACAAGCAAGGTGCCTCGGGGTCGACCGCTGCCCCCCCGTCAACACAGATTGCGACCGGTCAGAGAGGTAGGAGGAGAACCACCGCAGAACGGTGCCCCCCACCCCCAACCCCGCCAACCAGTGCAACATGATACCATGGTCGATGGTATCAAAAGCCGCTGAGAGGTCTAACAGGACCAGGATAGAGGAGCAACCCCTATCCCGAGCCCTCCAGAGATCATCCACCAACGCGACCAATGCCGTTTCCGTGCTGTACCCAGGCCGGAAGCCGGACTGGAGCGGGTCTAGATAGACAGCTTCATCCAGGTACCGGGGAAGCTGTTGCGCCACCACACTCTCAACAACCTTCGCAACAAAGCGAAGGTTGGAGACTGGACGATAGTTAGCCAAAACAGCCGGATCCAGAGAGGGCTTCTTGAGGAGGGGCCTCACAACCGCTTCTTTCAAAGCGGCCGGCAGGACCCCCTCACTCAAAGAAGCGTTAACAATCTTCTGGAGCCAGCCTCGTGTCACCTCCCGGGAAGCCAGTACCAACCAGGAGGGACACGGGTCCAATAAACATGTGGTTGCGTTCAGCCGTCCCAGGACCCTGTCCATGTCCTCGGGAGCCACAGGATCGAACTCCCCCCAGATAACACTCTCAAGACCTGCCTCAGTCATCCCGTCCGGACATACCCAGTCAGAGGCCAGTCCTTCCCGAATCTGAGCGATTTTGTCATACAGATACTGCACAAAGTCCTCGGCTCGGCCCTGCAAGGGGTCATCCCGCGCTTCCAGATGGAGGAGGGAGCGGGTCACCCTAAACAGGGCGGCCGGGCGATTATCTGATGACGCGATAAGAGCGGCAAAATAACTAGATTTCGCCGCTTTTATCGCCACTAGGTAGGTCTTAATATGAGACCTCACCAGTGTTCGGTCGGATTCGGAGCGACTGGTCCTCCAACTACTCTCCAGGCGTCTTTTCCGGCGCTTCATCTCCCTGAGCTCCTCGGAGAACCAAGGAGCTAGGTGAGTTCGGTGCCGGGTCAGAGGCCGCAAAGGCACGACACGGTCCAAGGCCCCGGCAGCCGCACTATCCCAGGCGGCCACCAGGTCCTCAGTCGAGTCGTGAGCCAGATGATCCATGTGCCTTTTAAAAGCATTCCAGTTATGCAGGCTTCTGCTTTTCATGCCCTACCTTAAAGACCTTTTACCTGAAGATTATTTTTTTCTCTTTCCACCCCGAAAAGGCAAGTAAATATTACTTGAGGGAGAAGTCACAGATCTTAAAAATAATAACCCAGCCCTCACCTCAAACAAAAGTGGTGTGTACACACACACACACACACACACACACACACACACACATGATCGTGGACACATTTATTTCTAGTTTGAAATATCTGTAGAAGATACAGTTAAAAAATATCCCAGACATTTTTTAAGAAAGAAAGAAAGAAAGAAAGAAAGAAAGAAAGAAAGAAAGAAAGAAAGAAAGAAAAAAGAAAGAAAGAAGAAAGAAAGAAAGAAAAAAGGGGAAGGGAGGGAAGGAAGGAAGGGAGAGAGAAAGAAAGAAAAAGAAAGAAAGAAAGGGGAGGGAGGGAGGGAAGGAAGGGAGAGAGAGAAAGAGAGAGAAAGAAAGAAAGGGGAGGGAGGGAGGGAAGGAAGGGAGAGAGAGAAAGAGAGAGAAAGAAAGAAAGGGGAGGGAGGGAGGGAAGGAAGGGAGAGAGAGAAAGAGAGAGAAAGAAAGAAAGAAAGAAAGAAAGAAAGAAAGAAAGAAAGAAAGAAAGAAAGAAAGAGAAAACACCTTTCACTTGTAAATCTGAGCTACCATCACAAGCACCCTTTCTACAAAAAAACGGGACTGCTTCAGTTCTGGCAGTTCCCAGCCAGTCCATGACAGTTTCCCAGCCAGTCTCGCAATCCCTTTCTCTCCTCCCCTTTCCCCCCTCCCCACAGCATCAACCACTTACCTGCAAGTTCCCCACAAGGAAACTCAATGGGGAAACCACTTCAAAGTCACTTAAACTCCTACTGCTTTTTTGCCCTCCCGCGGTCATTCTAACATTCTAATGGGCGAGGCAGCTTGATTGTGTACTGAGTAAGATGTAAGACTAAGGGAAAGGCAGATTCCAATCATGGAGACTTTAGATCAGTCACTCTCTCTCGGGCCAGTCTATCTTATATGGTTGTAAGTAGTGACTAGCTATTCTATCTTTCCTCCAAGAAATTCAAGGCATGTACAAGTAGTTTGTTTAGTGACCATTCAAAGATACAATAGTACTGAAAAAATTGATTTATGAATATTTTTCACACTTATGACCTGGGGAGGGGGGCTGCTGGGGGTTCGCAGGGGTTTGGGAGAACCTTTAGCTAAGATTCTATGCAGTTTGGAGAACTCCCAAATCCCACTCCTGGCTGGCCCCACCCACCCCTCCCCTCCCAGGAATCCCCACACAGCCCATTTTGAATGCAGATAAGTACAGGGCATGCATGGAGGTTCAGGGAAGGCGAAAAACAGGCCTATGGGAAATTCGGGAAGGCCGGAAACGGGCCCGTTTCCAGCCTCCAGTTGGCCTCCGGAGCCTGGGAGACCATTTTCGCCCTCCCGGAGACTCAACAAAGGCCTCCGGAGCCCCACCGTGGTACAGGAGGCCAACTAGGTCACGCCCACTATTGCCACACCCACCCAGCAACCGGGCAGAGAACCCTTGCTAAAATTTTTGAAGCCCATCCCTGCTTATGACCCTTGCAGCATCCCCATGATCAGATTATCAACATTCAGATGCTTATCAACTGATTCATATTTATGACGTTTATAGCGTCCAAGGGTCATGTGATCCCCTTTTGCGACTTTTTGAAAAGCAAACTCAGTGGGGGAAGCCAGATTCCCTTAGCAACCGTGTTACTAACTTAACAACTGCAGTGATTCACTTAACCACCGTAGCAAGAAACGTTGTAAACGGGGCAAAACTCATTTAACCACTGTTTTGCTTAGCCACAGAAATGTTAGGCTCAACTGTGGTCAGAAATCAAGGACTACCTGTAAAGCCATTACATAGAACTGACAGAACCTGATGCAGTTGTCACAAAGCTGATTATGCAACGAAATTAAAGAATAAATAAAACACGGGTGCAGGAAATGAATTAAATTCTAAACTGGGAGTCCATGGCAAGTAATTTTCTAAACAAGTTTATATCTGATCATAGATTATACAATCAGCAAATTTCGTGAGATGTCTAACCTCTGGTTAGATCTAGATTCCTCTTCCTTATCTTGTAAAACACCCAACTTTTCCGGTGACACAAAGATCTCTTTGTTGACATTGTTCACCCAGCTGCTTTTGGTATTTCCAGACTTACTCTGATGACTCAGCTCAGCTAAAATATAAGATGAAGACAAAAAAATGGGAGAAAATTAGCTTATGTTTGGTCTACTCATACACAGAGAGTAGCCAATGTACAGTTTGAACATGCAAGTTCTTTCTTTATTGATCAACATTAAAAATGAAATATGAACACCACTATTTTTTATTATTATTATTTTTTACAAACATATCAATGCGTGAACAGTATGGGCACATTCTAATACAAATAAAACTAGTAGAATTAATCATGGTTATTACATTCAATCAACATATATTTCTAATAATGATACACATTTATATTAATTTGCAAACTGTCCTTATTCAGTTATTCCATGTTTTCTCTTGTTATTACTTTTATTTTATTATATGAAAGTGTATACAGTAATATTCCCCCTTCTCTTATTTCTATCACTTATTCTAACTTTTAATCATGTCACCCTTTATTAAAAAAACGTTTTCTTTCTATGCTACCTAATTTCTAGTCATGTTGCCTACCTAAAAAAAAGAAAAGAAGGAGAGAGAAGAGGAAAAGCAAATCAGAACAACAACAAAAAAGAGAAATCATCTCTCCATCGCCTCTTGCCCGCTTCAATACTTTAATTGCTATGCTTTTTTTGACTTGCCTCCCAAATTCCTCTCTTGGAACTTAATCTCTGTCTGCATCTACTTCTTGGCTATTCAGTCTAGGTATTTCCACTATTTTTTATTACTCTCAATACGCTGATTGATAATTCAGTAATTTTATTCTAACCTATTGTTAAGAAAGGCATCCTTTTAAAAATATTAAATCTTTTACAAACTCGCAGCATTTTTCAACTTGGTGAAAAGCCCACAATAATGACTAAATTTCCTGTAAACATGTGCTATACAGGTAGTCCTCAACTTACGGCCATTCGCTTAGCGACTGTTCGAAGTTACAACAGCACTGAAAAAAGCGACACCACCTGTCCTCACACTCATCGCCTTAGTGGCATCTCCACAGCCATGTGATCAAAATCCAGGTGCAGGTATTTAAAATGGTTGGCGATCACCTGATCGCCATTTGCAATCTTCCTAGCTGGCTTCGGACAAGCAAAGTCAATGGGGAAGACGGCAGGAGGTTGCAAATCACAAGCACTTGGTAGCTCACGCTACGACCATAGCAAAAAGGTTATAAAATCAGGCACAGTCGTGTGATGTCTCACTGAATGACCACCCTGCTTAACAACAAATTTTCTGATCCCAATTTTGGTCATAATTTGAGGACTACCTGTCTAGGAGAAACTAGCTATTCTGTAGACACCCAGTTATCCCAATGGCTGTTGAGCAAGATGGGAGTATGGATAAATCATCTAAGCATTTTCATTGAATCTTCATTCAATATATTGACTTCCATTGATTCTGAGTTGCTTGGAGAGTAAGTGGCCAGGTAGGTAGACAGATAAGTAGGTAGGCAGGCAGGCAGGTAGGCAAGTAAGTAGGTAGGTCAATAGGCAGGTAGGTAGGTAGGCAGACAGACAGACAGACAGACAGGTAGATAGGCAGGTAGGTAGGCAGACAGAAAGACAGGCAGGCAATAGACAGTCAGGTAGGTGGGCTGATAAGATAGGTGGGTAAGTAGGTAGGCAGGTAGTTAAGTAGGTAGGTTAATAGGCAAGTAGGTAGGCAGGCAGACAGAAAAATAGACAGATAAGTAGGCAGTCAGATAGGTGGGCAGATAGATGGATGGGTAGGTAGGCAGGCAGCTAGGCAGGTAAATAGGTAGGTCAATAGGCAGGTAGGTAGGCAGACAGAAAGACAGGTAGGTAGGTAGGTAGGTAGATCGGCAGGGAGGCAGATAGGCAGGCAGACAGAAAGACAGGTAGGCAAGTAGTAGGCAGTCAGGTGGGTAGATAGATAGGTGGACAGGTAGGTAAGTAAATAAGCAGGTAGGCAGGCAATTAGGTAGGTAGGTAAGCAGGTAGGCTGGCAAACAGAAAAATAGGCAGATAAATAGGCAGTCAGATAGGTGGGCAGATGGATGGATGGATAGGTAGGTAGGAAGGTAGGTAGGCAGGCAGGTAAGTAAATAAGCAGGTAGGTAGGCAGGTAGGTGGGTAGACAGGCAGGCAGGCAGACAGACAGAAAGACAGGCAGGCAAGTAGACAGTCAGATAGGAGGGCAGATAGATGGATGGGTAGATAGGTAGGTAGATCCAGTGGTGGGATTCAGCCAGTTCGCACCACTTCAGGAGAACCGGTTGTTAACTTTCTGAGCAGTTTGGCAAACTAGTTGTTGGAAGAAATCATTAGGGCAGAGATCCGGTTGTTAAATTACTTGAATCCCACCACTGGGTAGATCCTCCACTTGGAGAGAGCCACTGATCATGCTGGCTTGGAATTGTAGCTGAGGTCCAAAACATTTAGAGGACAGTAGGTTGGAGGAAAGCTGACTTGAATCAAGACCATTAAAAGTCCTTCCTCATTTTAATCATAACGAAGTGTATTCTTGATTGAAGATCTACAAAAAAACCCCAAAACTCCCATTTCCTCTTCTACACAAAGCCATGCTTCTTTTTTTCCCAAAATCAACACATACCTATTGTCAAGGGTTTCCTTCTTATTGATGCCCGGATTATATCGGCTCCATGTATTTTCTCTCTGTGCCTCTTTGCCTTCGCTTCATAAAACCACTGCCCGCTCATATTTTTAACTTGGGCATCATCCTTTACTTTTTCAGGTAAATTCCTAGAAAATGAAAAATAATGAGAAATACAGTGGTTATTATATCGGGAGCTTAAATGTGATTCAGTAAAACTGGATAATGAATGAATGAATGAATGAATGAATGAATGAATGAATGAATATATGTCAATTGTGCCACCGTTGGAACTCTGGAATCAGGTCGTATGTACCTTTTGCGCGGAGTCCGTCATAGCTTTGAACAGTCGCTAAGCAACTGGTCATTAAGCAAGAACTATCTGTATGTTGTAACCAGGATAAAATAAGTCTGAGAGCAAGCAAATAATACATTTTAACTAATTTTCTAAGTATGTTTTAAGTTCCAGAGCATTACAATATTTGTTCTTTTCTTTGCCTATCTAGTATGTGTCCATGAAGATATTGTTCAACAGGAATAGCCCAATGCATACCAATTGTATTTTTCTTTTTTAAACCACCTCTTCTGTCTTACCACAATGTGGTTCTTTCTACCTGCAGTTACGGAACGCCCTTTGAATAAATATGACTGGTCAGAAGACAAAAATTCCACCTGTTAACGCAATGTCTATCTTTATGCTCCACCTGTTAATCCTAACCCTAAATCAATTCTTAGAATGAATAGTGAAGAAGCCCAGGATTTCTGAAAATTTACATCACTTGTGTTTGAACAACTTTTATTACTGTACTTTTTGGAGTATACGATGCACTTTTTCCCACCTAAAACAGGGTGGAAATGTTGGTGCGTCTTATAGACCGAATACAGCCATTTTTGGTCTCCTGAAACCCTGCCCCGCGTGTCCCGTTTTCACCAAAAATGGGCCAGTTTTTCGCAAAAACAAGACGTGCAGAGGGTTTGGGAGGCCTGCAGAGTGCTCCTGGGGGCTGGGGAGGGCAAAAACGGGACGTGTGGGGGTTTCAGGAGGCCAAAAATCAGGGGTGAAATGTTCCCGGTTCGGACCGGATCGCCCAATCCGGTAGCGATGGTGGCTGGTGGTTCGGAGAACCAGTAGCAAAAATCCCTGCGCCCCCCCCCATGCCCAGCTGAGCCACGCTATCATCAGAGGTTTTTTAAAATTATTTTTAAAAGCATTTTTTTCTACCACCTCTTCGGCTGAAGAGAAGTGTAGAAAAAATGGTTTTAAAAGTTTTTTTAAAAAAAGTTGGCCACACCCACTCAGTCACATTATCCCCCCACCAAGCCACGCCCACAGAACTGGTAGTAACAAATTTTACATTTCACATTGCTGAAAATGGGCCTGTTTTTCGCAAAAAACGGGATGCACAGAGGGTTTGGGAGGCCGGCAGAGTGCTCCTGGGGGCCAGGGAGGGCAAAAACTGGACACGCGGAGGCCAAAACCTATTTTTTTTCCTCTTGTTTTCCTCTTTGAAATCTTATACTCCAGTGTATCTTATAGTCCCAATTTCGGTGACTTTTTCTTTGCCACAATCGTTAAGCAAATCACTGCAGTTGTTAAGCGAATCATGTTAAGCGAATCACGCTGACT